GATATCAACCTCGAGCTCTGTACACGCTTTGTGAAACATTTTCTCTGTGGTCGGCTCAACAGCCAGAACATCGTATGTCGATACACCGTCAGACCGCTGAAGGGAAATTTAGTAGTTAGATAAAGGTTTGAACATTCACAAAAGCATCAGTCTAACATTAGAAAATTAATCATATCAATGTCAGTTTAGTATCAGCACTGCACATTCAAATTGTGTACTTACACCTCTATATCATACCTGCCAAGATTGGAAAAGGGGAATTAAGAATTTTTAGCACGGTATGTCTTCGAAAATCAGAAATCTGTACCCTTAACAGGCGTTCGCACATGCAGCAGCAGTGTAACTGGCAATACGCGGTAAATCTGTGCTAAAAAGTTAATACAAATTCGCTGCTCAATCATGCAGCCCTTCAACGCACGCAATACGTGAACTCTCACATCGCGGCATATGATAAAACAAGCTAAATTTGGCTTAAGCAACACAATTTTTTTTTGTTGAAAATCCGGGATATCCCGCATTTTGGGGCCTAAAAATCCAGAAAAACAGGATATTCAGGATTATTCGGGAGGGTTGGCAGGTATGGTATATGTGGATGCCTAAATGAACCTACAAAGTATGTTTCTGTGTCCTGGTTTTAGTCAAGCTGCCTTGTAGAACTACAGATTTTCAAGGAATTTCTATCTACCCGTTACCAATTCTCTTCACCTGGATTGAGAGGAGCAAATGTAGATCCCTGTCTTGCAAAAGGAAATTAGTGCTGCGGCTGGGACTTGAACTGAAACTGTTTGATCTACAGTCCAGTGACATATCCTATAATTGCTAAACAGACTCTATAGGCGCAACTCCACTGTCTCTCCAGAAAGACGGTTGCCAACAACAATCGCTTTAGTGTGCATAAACCAAGCATGGGTTTTTGAAAGAGGTATAATATATGGATAGGGTATAGTCAGTTGTGTCATTGTAGACACACATTAATTATTAGAAAAATAGATTTCTAAAAACAATCACATTTATACATTATATTACTTTGTCATTCTGGGGGCAGTTTCTCGAAACCGTCATAACTACAAGATCAACGACATCTCGCCACTGTCGCGCAACTTGTCAGCTATGTGTTTCACGAAGCCGTCTTTGCCAAGATGAGCGACAACTTCCGCGACAAGCGAGTTGTCACTGCTCCGAACCTGTCATATCTTTTTAATTGCTGTAAAGCGCCATCACAAGTCAGTTTGTTGACATTCCATGGCCCGAGAAATGGACGATTAGTTTCACTATCATTTTGAGAAAAATATAGACGAGTTCGGTACGTAATTCTCTGGGATGCGAAATGCAAATGTACAAAAGTGAGAATACAAATTATACAGAAACTTTAAAAAGCTGAATATAAACATTAAATCATAAATCATTAAACTATAACTTATAAATAAAAGAGGTAATAATGTTACACACCGTTTTCCATAGTCGATCCATAGTCTTTTCTTAGGATACCGTCATACCTTTGGGGCCTTTGTGCATTATTATCCCCTCTCTAATTACTTCTTCCAAATTATATTTTCAATATCAAATCAATTATATAACGAGTATTTATGAGACTCTAGAATAAAAACTGGCTGAGAAAAGACATTTTGCCTAAAATTCCTCGTCACAATAAACAAAAAAGTATGTATTGATAAACTATCACATTACGGTATCCTTCAACTAACTTTTGATTCGACTGTCAAAAAAAAAACACTCACCGGTTTTTCTTCAATTTAAGAATCTTTACAGAAATATGCAAATCGTTTGATGATGTAAATATGATAATGACACTATTTATTATTTATTTTAGGAGAATTTGTATGTATATATTTCTTTTTGAACAATTTTAGCCTCAAAACTTGTTATGGGTTAAATTCATAAATCAAATAGATCGTGACAAGACTATCTTCTTGAGCTGCTAGTATCGCGATATATCGATATCATGTCTGTCATGGCTTTGTGAAACGGTTTATCCAGTACATGACATCTCCGTAGGTCGCCGACAAAGATATGACTGTCATGGAGTTGGTTTCGAGAAACGGCCCCGTTTGCTTTTTGGATGCTTATGTTTTTAACAACAACAAAATATAAACTTACCAGAACAATAGTTTGTGCTGAATCATTCAGAGTCACAGTCAATCTTGAGAGAACCTTTATTTCCTTGCCTTGAACCTGTTTTAAACGAAGATTGAAAGTTTTTGAAAATCCCCAACCTAATTCTGCCAAACATCCTCTTATTAATTTGTACTTGCGTTTTCACCACAAATGTTGTAGAATAGTGAAGGTTACCTTCAAATATTGCTATAATCTAATCAAAGTTTTCAATTAACATTGGCAGGCTTGTCACAGAAAACAGTATTTTGAAATTCTGTAGAAACACACTGTTCATTCAGCCAATAAACTGAACTCCATTTTTGTTTTGGTCAAGCTGCAATCATGCAATGATAACATTGATTGCTTCAGGTTTATTTGTTCAAACACAATGTTCTTTAAGAGAGATTTTCATAAGCCTAAAGCTTCAAGAATATTACCTTCAGATAATCACTTTCCACCTCCTTTGGTCTCTCAGGGGCACTTGGAATCTGGAAAAGAGTGGTTAAAGAAAATCTTGTAAAGGAATTCATGCATTTCCCGTATTACTTTTCAAAGACCTTCCATTTGACAATATCATCATACAAAGCTCAAGTGTTAATTATCACTTTGTTTAAAAAAAGAAATCGGGGGTAAACAATCAAAACAGGCATTTGTTTGTCTTTTTACAACTTCCATTCTGAGGTGTACTATACAAATGGAGGTGGAACAGGAGTCCAATTGAGTGTCATATTCTCAATCTCATGTCCAGCCTTGAAGGTGCTGCTTATGATTTGGGGAAAATCCAACTGAAGTAAAAAAAAATATTTAAAAAATACCCACACCAAACAAATAAATGAACAAAATGCATACCATTGAAGTATTTCTGAAAAAGCCCTATCAAAGAAGTTAATTTGATAACAGCATTTTCTGGAAAGTCCAATATTTGCCAAACCCTTTGAAAAAAGAGCCCTTTCAGCTTTAATCAATGCATGGTGCAACCATTTCCATTATTCACTGAAAAATTATGTTTCAGTGAACATGTTAGATCTAGACATTCAAATATGATGTCCACGAACGTAGACATGTATATGCCACTTTAGAGAAACTTGCACCAATAGAGTCTAGACCTATAATTATAACATTTACTGAAGTTCTGAACTGCAGATCTCACCTTTGTTTTACGATCCAACTTGGCCTGCCTATGATTAATTGCAACAACTTCATAACCCACTGGAAAGGAGGGAGACAGAAAATAAACAAGGTCAAATAACTAATCAAATAAACTGCATAATTTTCATTAATATTGCTAATACCATCAGAAATTTTGATAATTGACTGCTTGCATTGGTAGGCATCACATCAATTTGTCACCTCTCTCCAACTTCAACTTAAAGTTCAACTACAGTAAGCCTAGCACAAGGCGTTTGATTTGAAAATATATCTAGCGGGTCTAGACTATATTTGCCTTTTGTAATGATCCGCATTATTTCCTTCACTGGTAATACAGTGCATTGGTTATTTGACAGTTAAGTATTTTGTTATATACAATCGTTTTGCGATTGATTTTAATCATAGTAAAACTATAACTGGTTACTTTTGAACAGTAGGGGCGCTGGTCCAAGAATAAGGATTGTCTTCATAAACGAGAAATCGTCTTCATAAACGTGGACCGATGCGTCCTCAAAAATAAGGATCGTCCCCATTTTCGCAGATATTTCGTTTTTTTTATCAGCGTGTTGGCGATGCCAAAAACGGATTCTGCCATGATTTTCGCGATACATTTTACATTGATTTTGTACAGAGACCTTCACATTATGAGTGATAAACCTAAATCCTCGAGAAGACGGACAACCCATAAAAGTAGATGGTAAACAAGGGTTATTTTCCCAAGGGGAATCCATTTTTCGCATTGCCAGCGGGCGGTTAACCCGAAACCTGCAGAGCACCGATGAAAAAAACGTCCGCGAAAATGCAGACGATCCTTATTTTTGCGGACGCATTTGGTCCATGTTTATGAGGATATCTTCGTTTATGAGAGCGATCCTCATTCTCGGACCAGCGCCCCTACTGCTGAATTTGACAAACATTGACAGTCAAAAAGACAAATTCTAGTGTGTATTTTGAGCATGGCGAGTCTGTTCTCAGTTTCACTCCCATTTTCCAACATGTAGGCTGTACCTGTTTCAGCTTCAGTTTAGTCTGGACTAGACTAGATTAGATCTAGACCCCAGACAATCTAGAGATTCTATTTTAGGCCCTAGAAGGTCTACATTAATTTAATTAAGGGTGACAAAATCAATCATTCAATCATGTCTGTGTATCTATGCAGAAGGTTAACATTAAGTTGATTAACTAAATACTTTTATAACAGTAGGCCTACTTAAGCTTCCCATACCAGACTGCCGACATTTTTCCTGTGAGATTTATAAAGTTGGACTAGATTGTTTCGGGCGTGACTTTGAGTTTGAGAGAGAGTCAAGTCGAGAGGTGCAAGCAGTTCGTATTTGTCCACCGTAATCCTACTGCAAGTCACGCCTACACTCCCGGCTAACCTCACAGATCAACTCCGCTCAGCTCCGCCTCCAGTGGGACTCCAGTGATGGACTGCACTGCGAAGTGTAAGTTAAGCTAAATATAGCTCACTAGACCATATTCAAAATTAATACTTACGCCTTGCTGCTCTAGCAATCGCTTTCTGTTTTCTTTTCTCGTCAAGACGGCTATCTATTAGATTTAGGTCGCTAAATTTTGTCATCTTGAGTGTTCTCGTGTTAGTCGCATCAAATCTTGAACACAGCACATGTATACACACTAATGACGTCATGGATAGCATGGACGGATATCATCCAATCACATCGCTCGTCATGCATAGACCTAGAGTTTTCATTTTAACTCGTTATTGATTGGATAGGAGATTTCGGCAGCGCTCTAACCGGTTCAATTTGAAGCAGATCAGCAACAATTTTCAAAAGAGAATTGTTTAGGGTAAGAAATGTCTTTATTCACTATAATCTCATACGAATCAAATTATTCGAAAGTACTGCTCTGTAAAAAATGATATGTGGATGTTGTTAGAGTAAATGTCACGTAATATCAGGCAAATACACAACGTGTTTTCTGTGACTTCTGACTTTCTGTGTGTGTGTTTGGCTGTTGATGCAAAGGCCATGCCCATGGTATGCCTTGTTATGAGCCGAGTAACCCGCCTGAGCGCGGGGCAGTGCCGTGCCGCGCGCGCTGGCGAAATTCGACGATGGTGCACTTGTACTTGTGCACAGATTGATGTAGCTCCACAGGGCAGTGTCACACAAAACCGTTCACCGACATCCCATTGAAACATGTATATATTTCGGCACAAATTCACACAAGCCGTCCACCGTCGGCAGAAGATCACCCTTGGCCTTGAGCCTTGTCTAGATGCTGAACAGGCTTAGCCTTTGACAAGTCATAGATCTAGAGCTAGCAGAATAGAAATAGAAATAGAAAAAAATGTGTGTTAAACTTAATTATACACGCTTAGGATGCCGTTGACAGTTTTCGTGAGATGCTGCCCTGTGTGGCTGTGCGATTCGACTTGATATTGAACCAGAATTTCTTTTTTTAAATTCTTCTAATCAATGCTTGAAAGGCCGTAGGTCTAGAGATCTAGGGGCCGTTTCTCGAAACCAACTCCATGACAGTCATATCTTTGTCGGCGACCTACGGAGATGTCATGAAGCGGATAAACTGTTTCACAAAGCCATGACAGACATGATATCGATATATCGCGATACTAGCAGCTCAAGAACATAGTCTTTGTCACGATCCATTTGATTTATCAAGAATAACCCAAAACAAATTTTGGGGCTAAAATTGTTCAAAAAGAAATATATACATATAAATTCTCTTAAAATAAATAATAATTAGTGTCATTATCAAATGTAGATTACCAAACAATTTGCATATTTCTGTAAAGATTCTTAAATTGAAGAAAAACCGATGAGTGTTTTTTTTTTTGACAGTCGAATGAAAAGTTAGTTGAAGGATACCGTATTGTGATAGTTTATCAATACGTACTTTTATGTTTATTGTGATGAGGAATTTTAGGCAAAATGTCTTTTCTCAGCCAGTTTTTATTCTAGAGTCTCATAAATACTCGTTATATAATTGATTTGATATTGAAAATATAATTTGGAAGAAGTAAATAGAGAGGGAAAAATAATGCACATAGGCCCCAAAGGTATGACGGTATCCTAAGGAAAGACTATGGATCGACTATGGAAAACGGTGTGTAACATTCTTACCTCTCTTATTTACATGTTATAGTTTAATGATTTGTGATTTAATGTTTATATTCAGTTTCTGTATAATTTGTATTCTCACTTTAGTACATTTGCATTTCGCATCCCAGAGAATTACGTACCGAACTCGTCTATATTTTTCTCAAAATGATAGTGAAACTAATCGTCCATTTCGCGGCCCATGGAATGGCAACAAACTGACTTGTGATGGCGCTTTACAGCAATTAAAAAGATATGACAGGTTCGGAGCAGTGACAACTCGCTTGTCGCGGAAGTTGTCGCTCATCTTGGCAAAGACGGCTTTGTGAAACACTTAGCTGACAAGTTGCGTGACAGTGGCGAGATGTCGTTGATCTTGTAGTTATGACGGTTTCGAGAAACGGCCCCCAAGACTCTACATGTAGATCTAGATCTAGACCTTGAAGTTAGATCTAGATCTAGACCTTAGATCTAGATCTAAGATGCACCAAGGTCAAGGAATTTTTTTTTTTTTTTTGCTTTTGGTTTTGGCTTTTTACCAGATCGCGTCTTATTTCAGCGTTCGGAAACCATGCATGCAGCTAGGGAAGGACTTTTTATTTATTACGAGGCGCAGTTGAAGTGCTTGTGAACTTGTCACAAATAGTAACAAATTTCTTTTTAAAACTAAAGATGACAGGCAAATTTTCCTATGAGTCTAAACAAAAATTTGGACAGGCTAGTTTTCGAGTGGTGAGTCCATATCCCCTGTGCGATCATGACGATTGAGCTACAAGAATTGATCTACAAGATTCCCCACCTTTACCATTTACCAAAGTGTACATGAGAGAGGTTTAGCAAGATAACAGTTTCCCGGCATGACATCGGCATTGTCTTGATAATTTGACGTACTAATACTATGCATTGCAAGGTCGTTTTTCAACTAAATCATGTATTCCAATTGATTAATAATAATAATATATGGATTCTTCCTTCCTGGGTACCTGTGGTGATGAAGCATTCACTTCACCTGCTATTAATTATCTTTTGTACTATGATTCTAAATTTGATAAATAAGTTGGTGCCGGAGTAGCTTGACCAGGAGTAATTATTTATATGTATTATTTATAATTTCTCAAGCACCAAGATTCCACTTCGACTTATTGACATGTTCATGAAATAATCAATGACTTCATTTTATCCAAAGAGGTTGTACATGTACATGCAGAATCAACACAATGAGTAGTATAGGAAAGTTAGGAACCTTGTGTAAACGCCGTAAACTAACCAGTCTTTGGTAATTTACATTACCAAGACCAACACTGACATCATAATCCAATCTCATTTTCAATTTATCACACGTCAGCAATGAAAAAAGAGAAGACATTGCTCCAACACAATGAGTACCGAGTATAGTAACCTTGCGTAGACGCCGTAAACTAACCAGTCTTTGGTAACATCTCCAACACTGACATACATAATCTGAAGACATTTATAATTCAATCTCATTTTCAATTTATCACACATCAGCAGTGAAAAAGAGAAGACATTGCCAGCCAGCACCATGAGTAATCTACCAATCTCCGGTAACTTCTCCGACACCGAGGATGACGTGGTCGAGGACGAGGATGAGGAGTTGCGCTTCCAGGAGAGCATCAAGAAGGACCTCTTCACCGAGTTCACCTCAGCCACACCCATGAAGATGGCCAGGGTGAGCGTCGCTCACGCCAGGGAACCCATGAAGGTGTACCTCAGAGTCAGGCCATTCACGAATATTGAGATTCAAGACGGAGAGTCACAGGTACATAACTATTATATCAGGGCCCTGTCTTATATAGAGTTGGTATTAATCGCAACGAGATGGGGGACTGCAAACTTGCGACTGATTAGAGGACTTATGATTGATTTGGATCAATCGCAACTCTCTATAAGACAGACCCCAGTAAGGATGAGAGAGACGGGAACTGTTGAAGCTTGTGTGAAAACCAGGTAGAAAATTGAAAGAAAGAAATTAGGGTATTGCTATGTTTTTCTTATCTTTCAATTGGTTGTATGCATGTCCAAACACTGGTTTAAAGGGCAATTAAACTTTTCTAGCAAGTTATATTGGGTAAAGAAATATAACCGGAGAAATATATATATTCTAAGTTTTTGATTAAAAAAAGAAGCTAGCCCCAAGTACAAAGCAAGACATTTTAAAGAAATCATTTTTATATGACACTTCACTAAATGTGCAAATGAGGCACAGAAAAGCATCAAAGTACAGTATCAATTTACAGAGCATGTGCTCTATACATTATGGCTTTCTTATTGATTAATGCACTTCATCTCTGTATAAAAAAAAAATCCCCATCTCTTTACTCAACATAGACTTGAAACAATAATATGGGTGCTTTTCTGAATTATTTATTTATGTTCGGGGGGGGGGGGGGCATTTTACAAAACTTGTCATTAGTGACAAATGACAGTTTTTGTTATAAGCTACTGAAATCCTGGCTTCTGATTGGTCATCGGCAGATTTGTCACTAATTTTTGATATTTGTCATTGAAAAAACGCTTTTATGAAACTCCCCCCAGGAGTGTATGGACCAGGAGAACCGCACCACTCTCCTCATGAGGGCACCCAAGAACAGCTTTGCCTTCAAGAGCAGTCAGCGAGGCTTCGGGGAGATGAATCACAAGTTCACCTTCTCCAACATCTTCGACGAAGACACCAGTCAGAAGGTGTTCTTTGACGACACCATGCTGGCCACGGTCAAGGACGTCATTGACGGCCACAACTGCCTGGTGTTCACCTACGGCGTGACCAATGCCGGCAAGACGTACACTATTCAAGGTTGGTATCGCATCTGGGCCCCATTTCACAAATGTGACAAATGACAGTTTTTGTTATGAGCTAGTTATATCCTTGCTTCTAATTAGTTATCAGCAGCGGAATTGTTACTGATTTTTGTCATTGAAAAAAGGTTTTGTGAAATGGGTCCCTGATTTGACCCAATGTAGTTGCACAATGTTTTTCAGAATATCAATCTTGTTGGAGAAGACTAAATGTATTCAATGGTTAGAAACTATTCAATTAGAATATTCTACAGGAAGTTATAAATGTCATTGTAATGATGCTTGTTGATTCATCATTACTATCCCAAAAGAACAAAAGAAAGTCAGTATGCTGTGGTGAGTTTCATTAAAAAAAAGTTAGAAGATGTTGCATCAAGAAAGAAGTCAAGAACCAACTGGGAAGAGAACATTAAGACATGGAATGGAATAATACTGCAAGAGTGTATAATAATTTATAAGAATAGAGGTGTGTGGAAAAAAACTATTCAACCATTGAACTGGGAGTAGAAAATACTGTGAGAGATAGATAATTGTTATAATGATCACAGAGAAAAATATTAAAAAATTTTTTTTTTTGGGGGGCTACTATTCAAGCTTGCTTGCATGAGAGTAACACTCTTCAATTTGTTTCGCATTGAACTCTATGCAAATTTTTAGGGCTTTTTTATGACCTTCAGGGACTCTTTTGGGCATTTCTGGGGCTCATTCGCCCCGAGCCCCCGTGTATTTTCCCCCTAATTCATCACCTTTTTGTTGGCATTGTAACTAGGTGTTCCACAAGATGGAGGGATTTTACCACGATCCCTGGACGTGATCTTCAACAGCATAGAAAACAGACAGTACTTTTCAAACAGGGTGAAGCCACGCTACTTCTGTGATGTGGTCAAACTCTCCGAGAAGCAGCAGAAGAAAGAAGAGGATGTCAAGTCCAAGCTGCTTGCCCTGGGCAATGTCCCTTCCACCGGTGCAGCAGATCAGGTAGCGGATCTTATGTCTTAGATACAGTGCGTCCCAGAAAAAACTAAACCAAGTGTTATCGATGTTTTTTGATACCTTAATCACAATTATAATTAATAAATGACACATATTTGTACAGCTTAAATCCTCTTCTTTCATTTGATGCAACTCATATTATGCATATTTCACGCATGAGTGATTACAAACATTTTGAAGAGAGGGTACCAAAAAGTCATTTGGGGAGCTGTATCTGAATTTCAAGTAGAACATTGCATTGTTGATTTTCTGCCCTTTCAAATGACACCTCAGTCAGGAATAATGAGCGAGGAATTAACAAAGTTCTGTTTGTTTAAAGTATTGCTTGCATTTCCATAAATTGATTAAACAAATTCGTTTTCACTGGCTGCCTGCCGTAGCGACAAACAGAGTTGACAAAAGACTTATCTCCGTTTCGTTGACGAGCAGCCACGCATCAAGTCTTTCGTCTTCTTTGTGCATGGCTGATCGTCAACGAAACGTCTTTTGTCGGTTTTTTTTGGACGCACTGTACAGGCACTTGTCGTGGGAAACAAAAATTTATCAATGCGTATTAAAGTCATATTCTTGCCCTTTGCAGCAGAACTTTTTTCGTCTTCCATTTTTGGCACGATGCAGGTAAATGTGTCCCATAAGACATACGTGGACCTTATGTCTTTTATCCAGTTATCTGATCAAATTTCTTAAACTATCTTTCGTGCACCACAACTTGAGAATATTTTGGTAATTCAATTATCTTAGATATGATGTTTGAAAATCGAAATTGCTTTCTAAGATCTTTATGCAAGAGTCTCATCATCTGTCTTTGCTAGTTATCAGGGTTGTTACTGATGTTACTGATGAACAAGTTAGGTTTGTTAGTAGCTGTTACACAAGGAAAAATATTTATTTTATTTTCTTGTTGACAACTCCTTCCTGCAGACGACGATGTTAGAGGGTGAAAGCATGATGGAGGATAGCCTGAACACAGACCTATCGCGGGCTTCCTATTCCGCCAGCAACGACGACACCCAGGACTCGTCCAAACTCTCAGAGAGCAAGATGTCTACTACAAAAGACTTTGAGGGTAAGATTTTTACGGCGTTGTTTAACAATGTAAGAGTTTGAAAAGTTGCCATGCCTGCCATAGCAGACAAAACTTGTTGAAATATCCCTCAGAATTCCATTTCATGAATGATTCATCATCTATTTGTCTCTATTCACATGTATATACCCAAGTGTTGAATATTGTCAGAATATTGTTTAAATACATTTAAGCATGTAGTCTGTGGTCATTTACACTGTACCATATTTACCATATGGTCATATATGCAAGTCAGACTGTCATACTATTTGCCAATGAAATAAAATACTATATCAAGGGTTTTCTCGATCTTTTGAGCCATTTGGTCATAATGCAATCTGTGTATGACCGCATGAACGTGCCTATGGCAAGCCAACGGTGCCTACCATGGTCAACGGGTGAATTTTCACAGCAAACACGTGCGTCTGGCTGTCTTCTTTTGGATGACTTACAGGGGGCAATTGGTGGCTCTACGAACGCAAATTTGCGCTTTGCGCCCGCTTATTTCAAGGGTTGTCTCTATGCTTTAATCCCTTGTTACAATTTTGAATTTTGTGGTCTAGACTTTGATTTTGGGCACCTGTGTTTTCTACATGTAGGTGCATTTTAATATCAAACCCTGTTATACAGTCAAACCTTCTTTATTGACCACCTGTCTACAAAAGCCACTTTTTGTGTTTCCCTTGGGTGGTCGCTATAGACAGGTTTAACTGTACCAGTCAAACCCTCATTTGTAAGGATGTAGTATTTCTTTTCTTTTTAATTGGCTCCTCTACAAATTACCCCAAGTCACACTAGAACAGTTGTTACCATAATAAAAACAAAAACAAACAAACAATTCACTATATAGTCTGTGTTCATTGTGTTGGACTTATCGTTAAACAACTTCTCATTAACCTATCCACTATCCTACAGCCTTGAGCAACCAGACATTCCTAGATGAGGTCAACGCCCGCATCCCGGATGACACCGTGGTCAACGTGGACGCGCAGGGACCCGTCAAGTTCAGCATCTGGATCTCCTTTGCTGAGATCTACAACGAGTACATGTACGACCTCCTGGAACCGCTGCCCAAGGAGAAGAAGATCAGACGACAGGCCCTCAAGCTGGCCGAGGACAAGAACGGCAGCATTTACATCAAGGGTAACCCATTGAATACTGAATTCATTCATTCTCATAGGCTCAATTCAGTAGCCATCGGGTTCTCGTAGGCAATGGTTAAGATTTTCCTGGTTTCCAACCGTTCAACAAACTTCAGAGAAAAAATATGAACTTTTCTTTTGTTGAATCAAAGAAGACCAATCTCTAAACTATTCCCGATTATATCAGCCATTTACCAACACACAACCGACAAATAGTTCTTCTTACGTTTCTGATAAAACATGTCCTGATTTTGATTCAATCATGATTTATTACGATACAAGAATAGGAAATCATGTCAGTAAATATTGACGAAAGTGTGCCTTGCATTTAATTTAACTGAAAATTTCCTCTACAGCAATGAAAAGCATGATATAATGAAAGCATGAGATTTACCCCCCCCCCTAAAAAAAAGCACTATCTGTACTAAGTAGGTAATTAACAAAGGTCAGTCGATTCAATTCAACAGTCCTTTCATATCTACCTATTTCAAAATTTAATCTTCAGATTAGGCAACATTACATATTGTATTGTTCATATCCTCTGTATAGGACTGAAGCAGATCCAAGTCATTAATGCAGATGAGGCCTATAAGGTCCTGAAGATAGGTCAGAGAAACCTCAGCATTGCAGCTACCAAACTCAATCACTGCTCCAGTAGAAGGTAAACAAAGGCAGGGCTTTGTCAAGAATTCTCAGGAATTCAATAACCCTTTTTTATTGCAGCCATATTTTATGCTCCCTCTGCATCACCTAGACTGAAGACACACTTAATTAAAAGCCTCTTTACATATGCTGAAGTAAACAGTTACAGCTTATTGCAGTTTTTTGTTGTGTGTGTGCGTCCCATGTTTCACATGTTACATCTTATAACACCCAGATAGAAGAGTATGCTTCGGACTTTTACAATAACTTTTACGAGAAGTGGTGTACAATTTCTACTTCATTTGTCACTGAATCTAGAGCAGCCTTAATGCTCCATCACTGTTTAAACTGCTGTTGAACAGCCATCGTTCTTTAATCAAATCATTTACTGTGCATATGTTTTTGATGGATGGTAAGCTAGATTACGTTTCCCATATATGGAGTACATATCGCCTTACAAGATCGCCATATCAAATGCAGTGTAATTTTTATTTAAATATTTTTGAATCAACAAGAATTTTAAACCTGTTATGAAACATTTTAGTATTCATATCTAAGTGTTAATTGTGGTATTTCTCATTTTTCAGTCACTGCATCTTCAGCATTAAGATCCTAAGAGTTGTAGACGTTGATGACCCTCATGTTGCCAGAGTCAGCCAGTAAGTACCTCAAATATACTTTTTTGAAAACGTGTATTTCTTGCAAAACATTTTCCCACTTGAGAGTACTGTTTAATATCAAATATTTTGCATTGATGCATTTTCTTTCCACATTGAAATGGACTTTGATTATACATGTACCTCTAGATATTGTGAGTTTTATATTGTCATTCATTTTCTACAAGAAAGATAAGAATCTTTGTGACTATAAAGCTGCTTTTTTAGAATCATTTTCTGCAAAGCATGTAGGCAGGGCTTTGGCCTGGCCCCCAGCTTTGAATTTTGGATCACCAAAATGTTGAAATTTAAACTTATGTAAACAAGCCCTTCATATTTCTATCCAGACAACTTTTGGAGAAAAAAATTAGTATGGATTGAGTCCTGATGTAAGACAAATTGAATCACACTTGTTTCTCTTTTGTTAGAAAGCCCTTTTAATCCACAAAATTTCCAAACTATACGTGTATATATGCCATATTTTGACTCCTCATTACCAAATGCTGCCTGGAAGACCTATAGTGGCAGCAGATGAGAAGGCTCTTCAGTGTGCAAGAATCCTGGCAGAACATTTGAGCTTGGATGATGGACACGAAGGAAGATTTCCAATGAGACAATATGATTGACTCATGACATGTGTCTTGTATTAAGAATAATAATAATAATAATAATAATAATAATGTCTTGTTTACCCAGGGTATTCTCATCAGTATTCATACTGTTCTCCCTGAGGGCCCTGCAATCATATCATAGTATTGACTTAAATTGATGAATTTCCCTCTCACCTTGTATTCATTCCAGCCTCTCATTCTGTGATCTCGCTGGATCCGAGCGCTACACTCGTACCCAGAACACGGGAGACAGACTGAAGGAGGCAGGGAATATCAACACCTCCCTCTTGACCCTGGGAAAGTGCATCCACGCTCTGCGGTACAACCAGAACCATCCAAAGTAAGTTTCACAACAGTATCAGTCATCTTTTTGTTGCATTTTTAGTGTTTTTGTTTGTTTGTTTGTTTTGGACAGGGATATCAGTTTTCAGCCTTTCCCTGATTTCTGATTACAATCAGAACCATCCAAATTAGGTCTTCCTGCAACACTTTCAATCGTCCTGTTGTTGCTGTTGATGCACTTCAGCTTTATAATTGTTGTGTTTTGTTTGACAGGGATATCAGTTTTTAGACTTTGCCTGATTTCTGATTACAATCAGAACCATCCAAATTAATTAGGTCTCACTGCAACACCTTCAATTGTTTTTTTTGTTGCTTTGTTGAATTTAATTGTTTTTCATTGTTTGTTTCAGACAGGGATATCAGTCTTCAGACTTGCCTAGATTCAGACCCTGGTACCCTTCTCTTCAGGCTTTTACAGGCTTGGTTTTGTTTGAAATATAAGAGACTCCAACTCCTATCTGCCTCTTTTCAGGCTATTGGGTACAGCCAAATAGTATTCTTGTTTTCATACATCCACCTTGCAGAGAACACCACAAACATGTGCTGGAGATTAAGAACAAACTGAATTTCAATTAATCAATTGTTGTGTGCCCCTTCTATTTCAAGAATACAAGACCACCTTTCCAATTTGTAAGGTGCCAATCAAAGTGACCATCACCCCCTAACCCTCACCTCCTATTCAATTATATCATTCCATAAGTGGCCTCCCCCCCCCCCCATTCCACAGAGTTCTAATTCTAGGCCTGGAACTTTATTCTATCCTACTCCTTTGTGCAGAAGTAATCCTTGAATATAGCCATTTCTAACCACGTTCCTTAACATTTCTTTCAGGGTGCATCCAAAGATCATCCCGTTTCGCGAGAGCAAACTGACTAGACTCTTCCAGAGTTTCTTCCTTGGCAAGGGCAAGGCTTCCATGGTTGTCAATGTCAACCAGTGTGCATCGGGATTCGATGAAACCATGCATGTCCTCAAGTTCTCAGCTATTGCCAAACAGGTCAGTGGCAAAGATTTGTGTAAAATATTACGTTTTTTTTTGCCATGAGTACGGAAGTACATTTTTTGTATGTTTTGTAAAAGATTTTTAATTAAAAACAAATAATTATAAATTGATGTTTTTCTTAATTTCCGATCATGGGCATTGTTTTGTATGTGAATTATGTACCTATGTCTTCAAAGGATGCACGTAAGACGGGGATACGGGGCCTCGATTTCGCTCAAACTTTTTTTGATTGGATCATCTGATTTTTCTGCTTCTATTTGAAAGTAAGTTATTGCTGGAGTGAACTTGCCCTTTAATTACATTCAAGTTTGTAAACTGTAAGTACAGGGAATGCAGCTGGCATTAATCATATTTGCGTTTAATCATTCCTGGAATCGATGCCATACTGACATTCTATTCATTAGCCATTACTCAATACAATATTCATGGTACCAAATCAGGGATGCCAATTTTCAGGCAATAGGCTTATTCAGGCCCTGGTGAGTTATTTTCAGACCATAGTTTCGGCTTTTTTGTGTACAAAATAGCTCATTCTAGGTGATTTTCAGGCCCTCTGATCACTTCTAACTGGCATCCCTGACCAAATGCAAATACATTAGTTCAATGAATTCAAATTTTAACCTAGGTAACGACCGTCACTTCAAAACTGGATAACAAGTGGAAGGAACCTCCTGCCAAGAAATCAAAGCGCCCTCTACGAAACGTCTCCCTGGCTCTGAACCAGGCCCTGGACTGCAAGGTCAAAGGTCAAAGGCCGTCGGTGCCGTGGGCGACCCCTGGCACCATCGCCCAGGTGATGAAGGAGACCGGGCACGTGGCATCCATCGAGGATACAGTCTTTGAAGAGGATGAGGAGGAAGAGGAAGAAGAAGAGGAGGAGGAGGATAGTGAATCGGATGTAGCCGATACTCCAGTAGCTAAGAAGAATGAGAACACTTCCAAGGTGAGACAAGTGAAGATGATGCTGATGTGATAGTGATTTGGGGGCGTTTCACAAAACTTGCCATCAGTGAAAAATTACTTCTTTTTTTATAAGCTAGTGATATCCTTGCTTCTGATTGGTTATCAGCAGATTTGTCACTGATTTTTGTCATTGAAAAAAAGTTTTGTGAGACGGGTCCCAGGACTTGGTTTTAGCTGTTGTTTGATGTCTGAGTGCCAAGGCCAAAGCGACTGGAGAATTTTTTTGTATCTGTTTTATCGTCATTTCATGTAAATTTTATTCGTTGTAATATAAATGACCACCATGAGTTTAATATGGCAACATGGGGGGGGGGGGGGGGCTCTCAGGCCCCCTCCCAGTCAAGGAGACGCTCAAAATAGCCCAGTACAGTAAGGGTTAAATATATCCCTTTTTTTCCCTCCTTCTCTTCATTGTTCAACAGATCCAGAAAGAGCTAATGGCCGTCATTGACGTACTGAAGCAGAAGCTGGTGGATGAGAAATCTGAGAAGTTCTACCTGGAGACCAAGATCAGGGAAGAGGTTTGCCAGGAGATGGCTGATCAGCTGGTAGAGATTGAGCAAGACTACAAGTAAGTAGTATACAAAGTATGCGTTGAATGAATGACAAATGCCCCGGCAACCATTTTTCCTATCAAATATAGTCAATACTAACCATTATTATCTATGTAAGGCTTCCAAGTGGTACAGTAAATCAGTGTTTCCAATATTTTTAGCGCAGTACACTCATGGCATTGTTCTTACCTTGCCTGTCATATCTATATTTTTTAAAACTTCATACCTGTTTTCCATACATTATACTTGATTTGAAATCTAATTTTTGTGCGTGTAATATACGCTTATACGCTTGTATTTAAAATAAAAACAAATTAATTTTTTTGTTGTTGATGTAAATGTGGAACAAATAAACTTCAAGGCCATCCAATATTATATAAATATTACCTCTCGTTACCAGGGACAGAGTTACTAACTTTGGTTTTTGCTTTGGTATCACTTATATGACCTTCATGCCTGATTGCTTAGCAGAGTTTTGGAATCAAATTTTTGTCAACATTCAATAATTTTCATCAAAATGTTGAAATGCTTGTTCTACTTTTGTCCTGATTATACAGTGAACGGCTGGAGGAAGATAAGCAACGAGCCGAGGAGGTCTACGAGAAACGTCTGGAGATATACGCCAAGTCCGTCAAGAAGACACGCAAGAGGGAGCGCAACGACGGGGATGCGGCAACTGATGCGGCCGAGCAAGTTTCCATCTCTCTTCTAGCCGCTGAGCAGAACAAAGTCAGGGTAAATATAAAGATGTTGATAGTGATGATTATAATGATGATGAGGGTGATGATTGTGATGTTGACAATGATTGACAGCTACGACAATTATGAAATACAGAATGGCAACCTCTTCTGGATTTTTTTTCTCTGTCTTTTTTTGAGGGGGGGGGGGGAATACAGATATGTTCCTAAGAATGATGATAACATAACATATTGTGGAATGCATATCACAGAACACATACATGTCCCTAAACAATGCAAGTACCGTAACTAACGGTGTATAAACCGCCCCTCGTGTATTAACCGCACCCCTCTTTTTCGCCCTTAAAAAAAAAAAAAAAAAAAAAAAAAAAACTTTTTGCCGACTTTGTCGGCAGCAAGCCAGGTCCGTGTTAAAAAACCCACGTGGGAAGGCCTTTCACTTAACTGCGAGGTGCATCTGAATTTGTAAGATCATTAATGTAAATTAAAAAAACAGTAGAGGACCTAGGATAAAACCTTGTGGTACGCGGTGTAATAGAAGAAAAATTGAAGGAATTATTATTATAAACTACATATTGAGATCTATCAGAAAGATTACTTTCAAACCAAGATGACAGACAAATTTGAGTGTTGTTCTAGTTTCCGAGTGGTGATTCAACACACCGATTACTGAGCTGGGAGACATTGCCAGGCATAGCGCCAGGTGGAGGGGAATAAATCGAAACTTTAAAAAAACATAATTTTTGTTGTTTTTTGTTTTGTTTTGTGTATCGTGTATAAACCGCACCCCGACTTTGAATTCATTTCGGCGGCAAAAAGGTGCGGTTTATACACCGTTAATTACGGTAGTGAAATACAAAACGTGCTGAAACGACTGATACACAGATTAAGCAGGACACATCTTCAAGCCCCTTTTTACTGTTGGAAGCATTTGTGAAGAGAGATTGATTTTATCAAGAATGTCACTTTTTAATAACATATGTAGTCTTCCCGTTCTGTATTTCTATCTATACATTGACTTACATTTATATTTATCTACTTCTTTGATAGGATCGCAATGCACAGATTGAAAAGCTGACTTCCGACCTGGAGTCAACTGAAAATTCTCTGAGAGACTTTGAGGATCGTATGCACAATGAAGTAAGACATATCTTCTGAAACGATTTACATGTACAGCTAGAAAAGTTCATTTTGGTCTTTGCCTTGTTTGTTTCAAATTTATTTTTGCTCCTCTTGTCATCTTAACTTGTGTGTGTTTACATTTATAATTGCCTGACTCACTGCTTGTATAATGTTGTCTATATAGCTCAGGTTGAGATCAAGAATTTAACAATGTGTTTGATCACGTTTTCATGCCACATGTGAATTTGGAATACACTCTTGATAGAGCAAAAAATTAGAGACAAGGTTTCTTAAATTGTGACTCAAGTTATTTTATCCCAGTCACCCCGAATGCCAAAAAGCTGTAGTGGTATGAGGGTTCTAGGGCTAGTCAGCTGAGAAACATATGAAGATTTGTGCATGCCCATTATATTTTACAGATTGATGATCACGCACCAAGTTGCCTAATCAGACATATCAAAGATATTTCGTAGCACCCTTCATTTCCACCTGTCATATCAAGATTTTCTGAAAATCAGAGAACTTCTGATATACCGTATGTCTCTTTACAATAATAATAATAATATTCCGCTTTGATTTAGCGCCCAATACATCCACACAACGATGTGCCTATCAAGCGCCTTACAGATATATTATTACCCCGGTCATCGGATTCAGGCTTACCCGCACACAATGTATGCACATTTTCCACTCCCTGGGGAGCACGTCAGTTTCATTTTTCTTTTTTAATTTGCAGGCTACTGAGCTGAACAAAACAATTGCTGATCAGAAGAAATGCATTGCAGAGAATGAATCAAAGGCCAGCAGTCGCGAGAAGGAATTTACGGATAGTAAAGAGGCTCTGCAAAATATGGTAAAAACTTTTTACAAAATAAAATTAACTCTTACAGTTTAGTCTATATGAATAGTAGAGGATATGATTTTGGAAACATGTGTCTATTTTACTTCTGTTTCAAACAAATTTTATCAGAGCAGCATTTTCCCCCCTTAGATGTATATGAAGGTTTTATTTCCTCCTAATATTTGAAATAAAAAGCAAGATTAAACTCAACTATTTAGGAAATAAGTACATGTTAATTTCTTTAAAAAATTATTGAGTGTCATTCAAATTGAGTCAAGACTTTATTTATGTCATCAGGTAAGTATTTTCTTCTTCAATAGCTCTTATATTTTCCCAAAATATTTGAATTAAAAATAACTCAATTATTTAGGAAAAGAGTACATGTTTATTTCTTTTTGAAATATTAATTGTCATTCAAATTGAGTCTAGACTTTATTTATGTTATCAGGTAAGCATTTTTTCTCCTTCAAAAAGAGATTCAATAAGAATATGTTTATTTCTTTTTAAATCATTAAGTGTCATTCAAATTGAGTCAAGACTTTGTTGATGTTTTGTGACAGCCATAAAAACTGCAAGTTTTTTTCTGAATTCTGAATTAACATATCTTTCAATTTCAACAATTTGTTTTTTTTTCACCATATTTCTGTCTAGATTGATGAATTAAATAGAACCATCGTAGAACAGAAGCATAGGCTTGTAGAGCAAGAACGAGACATCAATTCACATGAGGAGGAAGAGATGGGAGATAAAGAGTCCCTTCAAGAACAGGTTTGTTTTGACTGATGGCATGGAAAGTCTTTTAAAGGAGCTACACAAAGAAAATTCACTAACAACTCATAATTAGAACAAATTACATATGGATGGAAAGATTTTCTCTTGAAAAACATGAACAATTTGCTGAGAAATCATATAGATATCATGGAAAGGCGTAAAATGCAATTTTTCAAGACCCTCCTTGGACCCCCGAACGCCCCCGAACGTAAGTCAAACACACAGGCGTAGCGAGCTCTGAATTGTGACGTCACACAAGGGACGAACAGCTCAGTGCCGTGTAGCAGTATGCAGCTAGCCAGCCGTGTCCTGTATGTGACGTCACAAATATTGACGCTCTACAAAGGACCGCTGAAGGCAGAAAATCTGGATATCAAAACTAATATTTTTGGGAGTTGATTACTGCGGGCCCCAAACATATTTTTAAGAGAAGAGTTGTTGTATTTGATCGTCAAGGCTTCCTCTTCGCAATGATATGAGTTTTGCATCAATTCAAAACACTTTTGATTTCTTCATGTGGCTACTTTAAGCCCCTTTTACACATGATGTGATACTCCCCCTCCCCCCCCCCCCCCCCCCATTAAAAAAGCAACAAAATACAATGGCAGAATGTAAAGGGTAATGTGCGTCATATTTCTGTTTCCAAACAAAATAAGCAGCATTGATTTTTCTTGCCCCCACTTGACACGTATGTACCCAATAATTGTGTTTTATTTAGCTACTGATGTTTTTTTTGTTTTTTTTGTGGGGGGGGGGGGGGAAGGGGGCTGTTTACCATGTCTTTTATGAATGAAGCTTTTTATGAAATTTTTGAATTTTACAACCAAATTGAAGTTCAAAACTTTTTTTGTTGGTGTAATTTTTGTCCTGTTTGTAACAAACATTTGTTATCTTTGATTCAAAGCCACTTGCCTTTATCAAGGGTTCTCCTTTAGAATGTAATGTTGTGTTGATTTTGTTACAAAGGGGAAAATAATATTTCACTTCAAACTTGTGTTTTACCTTATAGATTTCGGAACTGAACAAGACAGTTGCCAATCAGAAGAAATGTCTTGAGGAGAAAGAGGCGTGGTTTAGCTGTCAAGAGAAGGAGCTAACGGAGAGTAAAGATGCACTGCAAAAACGGGTATGGGGTCTGAGTTCAAAACTTGAGAAAGAAAGTGGTATATTTGTGGTTCAATGAAAATCAATTTATTGTCTGTTTGTACCATTTTACACAGAGTTAAATTCCTTCTGGTTCCAAAAGATCAATTTTAAATTCAATTTTATATATCAACATGATGGAAAAGGGCTTGATTTAAACTCAGCTGAACATCATGTGCATATTTGAGTGAAATGTTAAAGAAGACAATTTCCAAGAAAACAAATTATCTCAAAGATTAAATGTGCATTTGTAATGTGGATTCTAAATTAGAAGGTTTTATAATGATTTTTTTTTTTTTTTTTAAAGAAGAAAATAAATTGGAGAGTGGCACTGAACCTAAGCCAGGAGATGTACTTCTGTGCAAAACTTTGATTACAATACAAATGGTTCTCCTTGGCTTTCTTTGCTTGCAGGTTGAAGAACTGAGCCAAACAATTCGAGAGGAGAGAGAGAAGGGAAGAGAGATAATGGAGAACAATGAGACTATCCTGGAACAGGTTGGTTACCTAATCACTAATCAATTAAAATCAAAATATTGTCTGTTTTGAGCCATAAGGGTGTTACACAATTTTACACAGAGTTAAAAAAAATAATTTTGGTTCCAAAAGGACAATTTAAATTCAATTTTTTTTTTTTTTTTTTTTTTAAATCAACATGATGACATGATGGAAAAGAGCATGATTTAAATTCAGTTGAAAATCATGTGCATTTTGTGAGTAAAATGTTAAAGAAGACAGATTCTAATTTTAATACCGATGGTCCTTCTTGGATTCTTTGCTTGCAGATGGAAGAACTGAACCAAACCGGTAGAGAAAATAAAGAGGCTTTCACACAGATGGAGAAAAAAGTGAGCTCACGTGCAAAGGAAGAAAAGGAAGTCAAAGAGGCTCTCCAGAAACAGGTTTGTTACCTAATCATTACCAGGGAATAGTTCCACGAAATTTCCATAAGTACACGTTCACTGATATCCTAAATAAAAAGTGTGCATTAAAATTAGAAATTGTTAGCACTCGGTTAGACACAGGATCATTTATATTTCTAACATTAGGGAAAATGGACACGTCATACATATCCAGCATTAGTATAATCATTTTGGATTTGCGTTGACAATTCTATACTATATGTTTAATGTATAACATGAATTCTCTTCATAAACTGCAATGTTTCCAATATATTTATTTATTTTATTTTTTTAATATTTAAATATGAGCAATGTGTTACTGTTCTTTTTTTTCTTCTATTTTACAGATATGTGAGCTGAATCAAACAATTGCAGATCTAAAGGACTGTCTGAATGAGAAGGAATCAGAGATCAGCTCTCAAGAGAAAGAGATTTCAGACACCAACGAGACAGTGCAGAAGCAGGTATGTTTCATTCCAGATCTACCTTAAAAATGGATTCAAATTTACTGTAAATTGTTATTATTATTTTTTTAACGAATGTTTGATAATACTTTGAAATTTACCACAGTATACATATGCAATGTAAGTTACATTTTTCCATAGTTGATATTACATCCGAGTATTGAGTGATGATTTCAAGAAATGTAATTTATATTCTTTTTCATAAATACAATAGGGCCATTCAAATCGAGACAGATACTGTTCTTTTTTTACCTCTTATCAAAGAATTTTGTTTTGTTGCTTGTGTCATAATTTTCCTGATATTGTTTCGTGTGTACACTGTAGATTGCGGACCTAAATAGCAACCATTGAAGAGCAGAAAATAAAGCATGACATTTCTGTACTATATATTTACTCTATCACATGATTTCTCTCCATGTTCCCAATTCTGTATTTAAAAAATATGAACATTTTAATAATGTTCTGTCTTCCTTTTCAGATTTGTGAGCTGAATCAATTAATTGCAGATCAAAATAACTGTCTGAAGGAAGAAAAAACAAAGATCGATGCTCAAGAAAAAAGGATTTCAGACATCAAAGAAACATTACAGAAACAGGTGTGTTTGACTCAAGATCTACCTTAAAAAAATGATTTAAATTTACTGCAAAGTTTTTATGTAAACAAAATTTAATGTAAGTTTTTCCTTAGTTGATATTACGTCAGAGTGTTCAGTATTAATTTGAAAAAAAAGTGATCTAGATCCATTTTTATGAATACAATAGACCATTTAAATTGAGACAGATTCTGTTCTTTTCTATCTCTAATCAAACAAGTTTTCTTTACGTTTGTCACAATTTCTTGTGTAGATTGTGGACCTAACCCAAACCATAAAAGAGCAGAAAGAGAAGCTTGTAGACAGGGAGACAGAAATCAGTGCACATGAGAAGGAGCAAGTGGAAGGAAAAGACTCTCTTCAAAAAGAGGTTTGTGACTTAATTGTTACCCTAAGGATTAGGAACGTACTTACACCAACAAGACCAAGACCAGACCAAACCAAAATACAGTCAAACTTGTCTATAGCGACCGCCCAAGGGAAACATAAAAGTGGTCCTTGTAGACAGGTGGTCTTTGTAGACAGGTTCCTTTAGTACATGTTTCAGTGAGAAACCATTTTCAAGGGAAACAAAAAATGTGGCCTTTGTAGACAGGTGGTCACTAAAGCAGGTTTGACTGTACAAGATTACTGTTACCTACAAGTGGCTTTGAATCGATCAGTGTGGAATGGTGTGGATTTAGTTTGGTGATGTGACCAAGGAAAAACGACCTCACACTTTCACTGCCTCCAACTTTAGCACTGTTACAAATATGTATACTAATGGACTTCGATCTCCATATTCAAATAGTGAATGGACATGTGCTGTTGAGAAATTATGAAATACAACAATTCAATTCAATTCAATTCAAATTATTGTATTCCCATAATTCAATAAAAACTTTACAAAAAGGAGTAATAATACAATTAGAAAAAAGGAGAGTTGTCAGCCATGTCTTTTTCCTTTATTTCTTCCAACTACTTAGCAGTGCAACTGTCTTATTGATTAAATCATTTCCTTTCCAATCAGAATTTGAAATTTGAAATGTTAATTTGGCCTTCCTTTGTTGACTTTTTACAGATTTCTGAGCTGAAAAGAACAATTGCTGATCTAGAGAAAAGTCTAGAGGAGAAAGAGGCCAAGTCCAGCGCTCAGGAGAAGGTGCTTATAGAGAGTAAAGAGGCACTGCAAAAACAGGTATGCTAGCTGTCGATTTAGACATTTCAAGAAAGCCAAGTAAAATATTTTTGCATTAAAGGTACTACGTCCCATTTGCATCCAACATCAAATTCTGTAGAACTTATGAATATTATTATAATTATTATAGTTTTTTATTCAGCAAAAACAAAGAAACTCATTGAATACAAAACAACAGTACATTTGGAAAATAGTCACATGGATGCTAGGAAAAGAAAAAGATTAACTAAAACCTATCTGTGAAATTTAAACGTTAGCAGTGTCCTGGTATTAAAATTATGCAGACACCATAAAATTCCAGCGCAAGATTCTTTTGTCTAAAAAATTATCGCGAAAAATGTAGAGGGGGGGGGGGGGGGGGGGGGGGCTCGTAAGGGGCAGGGTGCCATGTTGTATAATTCAGCGTGCATTTGTTTCATTTTCCTTTCCAGTACCAGTGCCTATTTCCCCATTCTCAGCTCAATTATTGTGTCACATTGTTGTCAGATCGATGAACTAAATGGAAGGCTTGTTCAGATATGGTGCGATAAACTGCAGCAAAAAAACTGCTGTGGTTTTATGCGTCTTAAATGAATGGCAACTGCGAGTTATGAAAGACTTGAGCGCATCCACTGGGCTCTTTGTTATCAGGTTCAGAAATCTGAAGTGCATTGTACTTTATGCCATCGCGAAAAGCAGCGGTTTTTGCGGCATCATATCGGTAGGATGCGACCGTCATTGTTTGTCAAACACTTTTTGAGTCGAGATTGTGCACACGATTTGCGGGGCAAGTATTGAATCCAATGACCGGGGTAATACTATATCTGTAAAGCGCTTAGAGACATCGTAGATCATATAAAGCGCTGTTTAAAAGCGGAATGTTATTATTATTATATCTGAATGAGCTTTTACAGAGGTGAAGCATAGTGGTTTACAGAGAGAAACAGAGATCAGTAATAAAAATTTGCTATCATAGTTTCATTTTTCTTAAGTGCATCATTCCCTTTCTGTTGGAAAAGATGAGAACTATATCTTGATCTGATGTATTTGCTTTTATAGATTTCTGAGCTTGAAGGAACAATTGAAGATCAGAAGAAATGTCTTGCAGAGAATGAAGCAAAGTTCAATGCTCAAAAGAAAGAACTTACGGACAGCAAAGAAGCCGTGCAAAAACAGGTACATCAATTATTTCCTTTACGAGTTATATTTGGATTCAATGTATTGATTTTAAAAAAAAGAGGCTATGTAGCATGATTGAACTGTTATATTTATATATATAATGTTATACAATTATTGATATAAACCATCTGTTTCCTTTCACCATATCTCTTTTAGATTGATGACTTAAACAAAATTACTGTAGAACAGAAACAGAAGCTTGCAGAGAGGGAGACAGAAATCAGCACACATGAGAAGGAGCAAGTGGAAGGAAAAGAGGCTCTTCAAGAACAGGTTTGTTATCTAATACAGTACATATTTTAGCATCAGAAAAGGTTTTAAATGAAATTCAGGCAGCAGCCTGCATAAGTTTTCAGTTGTAACAAATTTGTCCATATGTGACCCTATATTTGGTCTTGTGTATAGTTCAGGTGTTTATTTTGGGGTTCAAAATAGTTGAATTATTGTTAAAAATGAAATAAAACGATAAAATACATACAGTTAAAAAAACAGAGAAATACGTAAGAAATTATCAAAATAATAGATAACATAAGGAATAACCTGGCTCTTCAAAATTTTTGTTGTATTATTATCCCAAATGATTTAAAGAATATTGTAGTGAAAACTAATGTTTAAATATGAAGAATATATGATTTATGGGTTTTAAAAAAATGTGAATTTTATTACCTTCTTTGCATACATGTAAGTTACCTTAAATATGCAAATAAGTGAATATTTAAAAAAAAATTAAAATTACCATAGTAATCTATACACTTCACTTGACATGCATGAACAAATTTTGCGGAGATCATGGGGGGGGGGCCTTAGAAGCCTCCCCCCCCCCCAGGCTATGCAGATTCAAAATAGCCCAGGCTAGATAGGGGTGAACAAAGGTTTTATAGTTTGGATTTTAATCAGGAAAAATTGTCCATTTTCTTTGAATGACATTCAACTGAATACATGAATTCTCTTCTCTGGTTGACCAGATTGAAGAGCTCAAGACAGTGGTCGATGTACAAAAGGACCAACTCTGCAAGAAGACTGACAGGATAGACACGCTCGAGAGAGAACTGGAAGCCAGGCAGATCGTCCTCGCCGAGAAGGTATAATTTAGAGCCTCCTTTCAGATATGGGGCCACTTGATTACCTAAGCGTTTTGCTTGAGAGAAATTTGAGGTCTGGAACACAGGCCTGATAATTACCAGATTTGTTTTGCTACTCGATTTTACCCCTATTTTCCCAATTTTCTTACTCAAAAGAGGGGAATGTTGTTAAATGCCATGATTTTTTTTAAAGAAACCTTTTTTCTTTTTTCTTTTTTTTTACTCAAGGGAGGGAGAGGGGGGAGGGCGGGTTGAGGAAAAAAATGATACCTTTTTTTTTAGTCCTCACTATCACCCCTGGGAACAGTTCCATTAGAATTTTCATTCTGTTGTGGAATCATGTCACAGTTATGATAAGACATGAAAAGGAATGCTGTTCAAATGATTTCGGTTTTCCATATGACTATGTTGGGGAATCTCGTGTACTCGTATCTCTGTCCAGTGCTCTAAAAAATCATTGTTTGTTATTATTTTATCCTAAGATTTGTGAATTTGTTATTCTTGTATGTATGTCATGAAGTGCTTACAATTTGATAATTCATATTTGATGAAAAGGGTTTACATGATTTGTCTAAGGATTTGTGCTCTCTTTTCTCAGGTTGGAGAATTAACGACTGTAATTGAGAACCAGCAAGCAGAGATCAAGAAACAGGCAGAGGGTCTGGAACTGAAGACTAAACAGATGCAGGAGAGCACCTCACTGGTAATGAACACATTGTTGTCTTTCTGGAATTAGATTGTTACTAGCAGGACCCGTGGAAAATCCACGGGATTCTAGGGGAGGGGGCCAAATAGATAGATAGATAGAGGCCTATGTGCTATCCAAAAAAACTTTAGATTATCTTTATATAGAGAATTTTTATAATATATGCTGTTTGACCATGAATGGCGCATCGTAAAACAAACTATGTCAGATAGGATCTCGATAATTACTATTTATTTGCATAATTATTGTTGTGATTTCAATGTAGTTTCATGAAAAGACTACATATGCAGAGGCTTGGATTATGATTATGTTGGCATTGTTCACAAAATGTGTATAATTATTTTCAAAGTAAAGATTTTACGCGAAAAATCGGACGGTTTGTGCACAAATTGACTCGACTGTGTGTGGGACTGTGAGCGTAGAATCCAGTGAAAGATTTTTTTTTCGGGGACTCGATCTATATCAAATTTTGGGAAAATTTTTGGGGGCTACTTTTTCATTAATTCATTTAAAGATGCAGTTTGTTTAGTTTAGTAGCGTAGTGTTACGTAAAAAAAGGCGTACTTTCTGCGTCAAGTTTCTACGCCGAAAATACATGAATTTTGTTAAACATTAAATTGTTTGCGTCCATCTTGCGTACTTTTTTGCGTCCCTCAGGGTATAGTAACGTAGGCCAGCGTACTCTCAGCTCAGCGTAGTTGGTACGCAACTCTACTATGGACCCCACGCCAATTAGTGATCGACCTGCCAGTGTCACAAATAAGGCATTAAAAATATGCTCATCTGACCGTAATTAAATGCCTAAAACCCCTGAGCTTTCGGGGGTTCAGCCCTTTGTACCCGTGGACACCACGCCTGCACTCAAATCGCTTTGAGTTACCTGACCCCCCCCCCCCCCCATACTTTAAAAATTGATTTGATGCAAGAACTGTATCATACTAAAAGTATTATCATGTTTTTAAACGACCATGACGACCGTCTGATTTCTTGTGAAAACTTTAATTTGAAAAATGATTATCGAAATTCAGTATACAACTATACATTGCCAGAATAATCACAAACCAAGCCCAGGTTTCATACATCTATTCACGAAACTATATTGAAATCGGGGCAATAATAGCAATTTCAAAGTGTTGTTTAGACTCTCCTCACACCACGGACAGACCTGGCTACTCCGGTCACAGCTACTCCATGCTCACACACTCAGCTTTGACAGCACCGCCGACAGCAGCGCTCAGCTGCCGTGGCAATACACTGTGGACTCAAGGCAGTTGCAACTGAACTGTCACGTGAAGGCGTACTATCACAGATCTATTTGCGCTATTCTTGTTGTGATTTCGATGTAGTTTTCATGAAAAGACCAATAAAACAGAAGCTTGGACTATGATTATGTTGGCATAGATCACAGAATTTGTATAATTATTTTCAGAGTAAAGATTTTACGTGAAAATAGGTCCATGGTTTGCGCCAGTTGTCGCAATCACCTCGACTCGAATCGACTGTGGTGTGTGCATGTGTGTGACCTGAGAGCGTGTAATACACGTACACTATGGGCGCCTGGCCTACAAAGCATATCCTATAGAAAGACGCATAACACGGGTACGCTCAACCCGTTGAGCGTACATATTGGCTACATCCCATCACCTGAGTGAGTCATCTGTTAATGTGTATTTCTCTTACACGCTACAAAGCGTATCCTATAGCAAGAGGTCTAATTCGGGGTACTCCGCACACCCGTTACAATAGGATTTGCTACACCCGTTGACGCGAGTGGATTCTCGTCCATCGTGTGTCTCTTCGTCTCTCTTTGATAATTAGACAGAGGGCGGGTGCACGCCTTGCCGACTCGCTCTCGCGGGTTCGTCGCCTCCTCGCAATCCACGACGCCCGCCCGTCCTCCCCGGCACCCGAAACCGCGTTTAACGGCGTGGACGTTAATCGCGGGGTCGACGTGGCACGCGGGTTACGGGAGACAGGCCTCGTGGAATTGTGCCGCCCTCCCCGCGCCACGGCGGAGGCGGGCGGGGTCGGGGAAAGACGTTTTTGAGGAACCGTTTTGGCCCGTGTTGGACCCCCCGCGGCGATTTTGCGTATTAGTAATATAGATATTGAAAGGTAATCTAGAGGTTTGATGAAGACTAATTACATCTCAAAGAATAAATGGTATCTGCCAAATGATTTGAAAATGTGCAATAGCTGAGTAATGAGCAAATAAAGTAGAGGAAATGTAAGTTGGATGGCCATGACAACTTGGCATCGTTCTCATGACAGTAAGATTTAATTACTGGCGCTTAAGATTGGTTTTAATCTAAGGCCTAAAATAAAAACTTGTTGTATTGCCCTTTGTGACCGACCCAAAAATCTGAAAATCTACGGTCGACATTTAAAAAAAAAAAAAAAATTTAAACCGTTTTTTAAAAAATTTTTTTTTTATTAATGAATAAAAAAAAATATGTATTTTGTTTGTTTAAATGGGATATAAATGCATAAAATCAAACTATTCCAAAATTCTCACTCGTGCAGACCGTGGATAATTATGAGGTGAAAAAGATATCAATGGAATGATGACGTTGAAACACATGTATTAAAATATTGGCCCAAAGAGGGCGACAAAAAAAAAAAATTCAAAAAAAAAAAAATTCTGACCGACCCATGTTATCAACGAATATTATTATTTTTAATTGTTATGCTTTATAATAATATCTCTTTCTCTGTCTCCCTCTCCCTCCCTCTCTCTCCCTCCCTCTCTCTCCCTCTCTCTCTCTCTCTCTCTCTCTCGTCTCTCTATTTACTCTATCTCTCTCACTCTCTCTCTGTCTCTCCCTCCCTCCCTCTTCCCTCTCACACTCTCTGTCTCTCTATTTACTCCATCTTCTCTCACTTCCTCTCTCTCTCTGTATTCGTCTTCAACCTGCAGCAACACAAAGATCTGGAGGAGCATGATACTCTAGTGTCTGATCTAGAAGAGCGTATAGAGGTCTTAGCAGGAGCAGAGAAACAGCTTGCAGATGCCAAGAAAGAGATGGCCGTAAGTCAAATTTAATGATAATTGCATTGTGAAAGAAAGGTTGTGGAATTGATCAGAAAAGGTTGATCATCTAGCATATAAGTATTGGTGTGTACGGTGAGGTTCTGGAGTCATCAAAATGATCAGAAATTTGGCACTGCACACAGAAAGATGCATATGGGACTACACATGCCATATTTAAAATATTGACGCATTTGAAGAGCCATGCTTTCCAGGGAGATTTTTTATCTGATGTTCTTCCACACTTGCACAATACAATGATAACGGTCACAAAGTATTTTTCACTTCTTCCCAGAACTCAACCTTCTCTTTAAAACCTTGCTGATTTGCCAGATTCTGAGATAACAAAGATGATTTAACATTTTCTCTGTTGAAAGATTCCATCACATTGTGTTTGTATTGGATCCTAGGAGCAAGAGATTCAGATAGCTGACCTGTACAAGCAGCTTGAAGAGAGGGAGGCCAAGGTCAAGGAAACCGGGGAGACCATGGCCGCCGAGCTCTGCGCCGAGATCAAGATGCACGAGGAGGCCCAGAAAGAAATGAGGAATTCCATCCTCAAGAAGACACAGAATGAAACGGAAGCAAAGAAACTGATCGAGGTGCATGGACTTTTGTTGTTGGTTTGTTGGAGGAAACGAGGGGAATTCCTTCTGAGTTATCCTGCAGTTTTGTTTTTCTGTTGAACTGTGACAAAAATTGATACTAATGGATATTTTGATAGTGCTTGTATCCACCAATGCAAGGTACTTAGGTGCTCCAATGTTACCCCAGCTCTAGCCTGCTCACAGCATTCAAGCGATTCCTACTGATACCCATTTTTTTAACAACAAGGTAGAGAGGTGCAAATGTAAATGCCTTGCATCCCAAATACATCACCTCTGTTGTTTAGACATTGTGTTAATCCACAACAAGAATTCAACTTCCTAAGATGATACAAGGCACTGATCGCAAAACACTAATCTCATGTGACATACTTAAGAATAAGATTCTTGTCTACAGCACACATCTTGCTGTTCAGATCACATGTCCAGCTGTAGCCTCGATCATCAGCCTGTCTGCACTTGACAGTTTTACCTTTCTTTAAAGGCATCGTTTAACAAGGTTAAATCTAAGATGCATGGCCCTACATGTTATCAGTGTCTGTGATATGGTGTAACATTGAAGCCCTAACAGAATTGTGCTTCAAAATGATCATGATGTGCCTCAAAAAGTAAAAAATCTTTGAGTGACTGGTTTTACCATCCTCATTTTCCCCAATAGACTGTAGTGTTATAAAAACCATTGAGAAAACGAAAAATGAAATTTTGATTTCCAATCATAAATATCTTGATAATCGGACAGCTGATTGGCTTGTAAAAGTGACTGACCTAAAGGTTTATAATTACGATTGCAGCATGAGCTAAATCCAGGATTTTGTTTCAGAATCTGGGGCAATGTTATAGAGTCGCTTTAATTTGCTTTACTGAAATACGTTTCCATGTACATGTACATTGCTTGGTACAAGAACAAGAACAAGAACAACATTGATGCAAGCTTATACTGTAAGAATGTTGCTGATATAATGAATGCTTCATACAAACATCATGACAGTGATTAATATTGTTTCCATTGGTATGTTTCCCTGTGTTGTAGGACCAAGAGGCCTCCAATGAAGAACTGAAAGCTATTGTTGAGACCAAAGAGAGACAGATTGAGGAACTGGAAGAAACACTCAGCTCTAGAGACGAAGAGATCAAAGAAATGGTAAGTAGAACAGTTAGTAAAACGAGATACGCTACAGCCCTAACAGAACTGATTTTAGTTCAGGTATTGAAAAGCTGAAGGAAAATTTGTCAACAACTGCTCTTTACAACTCAAATGTGTGCCTATAAATAAAACAACTTTACACCTACATGGGGTAGAACATTCCTATTTGATGTTCACTTCCTTTTGACTACAAGCTTCGAGCGTCTTACGTAAAATCATAGTGTCATGTTGCTTTAAGGATGAACGTAGGAAGATGTATCAGTTATCGTAAAAGAAGGAGTGTGTGACAGACAATGATCATACATAGTTTCATTCAGTAATGTTTATTTGTTGTTGTTGTTGTTTTTTTTTACAAATAGGAGGCTAAACTAGAAACATCTTCCCGGAAAGCATCAGTAGAGGAGTCCGAGACACAAACTGAGGTAAAACATTTGAATTGCATGTTCAGGAAATCTTGTACGTAAAACCTCTAAAAAAAAAAGACGAGAATAGTGGTCTTTACATGCAGGCGTCTCAAGAAATGCTTTAAATAAAAAATTGTGATTGTTCTAGATAGATGCTCTCTCCATTCAAGTCGATATTAAAATAGGTTTCACTGTATTGTTCTATTCTTATTTCAGAATATTTTGTTTGAGAGCAATTTCTTCAGAGACAGACTGATTGAAACTGCAAAAGACAGTGAAAGTTTGGAAAATAAAACAGGATAAAATCATGAAGTAATATCTAAAATTTCTATCAACATGAAATCCCCATTGTCCGACTAAGGAGAGTGCTGATCAGGAGAAGTGTTGCAAAAAGCTGTGACTATTTGAGAAAATTCCAAATAAAATCATTTTAAAGCCCGTCTACACTAGTTTGGCCAAGAGGGATTAGTCCACCCTGCTGGTCACTGACAAGTGGATTTCTCATTAACTCAGCTCTCAAATAACAGACAAAAAAGAGGATCATGGGGGACCAACAGGCACCACTTAGGCATTGTTTTCTATATAGAGGGAACAAGTAGTACAGTAGGGCTTTAATTTAAAATATCGCAAAATCTCTCTCTTTTTAGATGGAGTATTCCTCTGAGAACTTCACCTCCTCCTCCTCCTCCGAGGAGAGCGCTGATCAGCAGCTGTCCCGCAAGAAGATGTCGGGTATGCCTTCCACCACCTCTCTGGCATCCACCATCTCCACCACCAGCACTGAGGAGGATGATGATGATAGTATCATTATCATCGAGCCGGAGGATCAAGCCGGATACAAGGCCGGTCGCCTCTCAAGGTATGGATCATACATAGAGCTCTGTATCATCATCAGTCAGTCAGTGAATAGACCAGTTCACGGTTAGCACATGGCTGCAATGACCCCGAATATCCACAGATCTTCAAAACATGAAGAGGTCCCACTTTGTACATTTTGAAATAATCAGTCCTACAGCGATGAAGATGCTACATACTTAGCCTTTGTTTCCCCTTTTCAGAGAATACTTCCACCTGTGTATCATGGAGTTCTCTACTTGTACATAAATGAATAATGATTACATAATTTTCATGAGCACGTATCCAGTATTCCATCTCTGTGCATTTCACAATTTGTTCTGCAATGACCTTTATCTGCTCATGCTCAGACTGCAACCGTGAACTGGCTTATTAAAGGGAGTGTAGCATGGCAAATACTGGTTCACGCCATCTGCGACTTCTTTTGGACAACTGCTCGTAAACGAATTCACTTGATTAACGGTAGTCAGCAACTTTATCTCTACATGGTCTGCCAGCGTTCGTGAAACAGACTGAAATTCTCCTGACGCTTCGGTTTTGCGTATGTTGCACGCACCTGATTGCTGCGGTCGCATTGTCCGTAGTCGTATTAAACCTGATTGGTCCCCGAGTCAGGCCACGGGAAAGACACATAGTCTCATCATGCTACACCCCTTTTAATCATTCAATCCATCAATCAATACATCAGTCACTCAAGCAGTCAATCATTCTCGGCTATGCTGGATAAAAATTAGGGAAATCTCAGAAATGAATTCCATTCTTTTCCAGTCAGGGAGAAGTAAAGGAATTTATTATCCCCCAAATAACATAGCCAGTCACTCTTATTTTGTGTCCATGAGAAGATGTTTTGAAGACATTTCAAACTTGAAATAGGTGGAAATTATGATCATTGAAACTCCATCAGGAAAAACTCATGGAAAATCTGGGAATCCTGATTTATTAAAATCAACATATTTTGATTCACCATATATTTGTGTAACTCTTGTTTAGAGCATGAAGTTAACCTTTTTTCTGGCAAGCTCCAGATTTGAATGCAATGCTAATTCTCTCTGCATCTTTTTCAGAGTGGAGATAGATGCTACTCCTCTTCAGAAGAAGAACTCGCGCAAGGGACGGGCCACCAAGATCACAAAGACATCGCTGAGGTCGTCCAGGAAGAGGGGAGGAGGAGGAGATGATGTAAGTAGTCCAGCTCTTATAACAATTCATTTTCTAGGACTCTAGCAGAGGTGCCAGCCAGTACGATGTAATCGTATTTAGTACGATAATACGATATTACCTCTCAAAATACGATTTTCCAAACAAAAAAAGAAGAAAGAAAACATGTTTTTTTTTTTTTTTTTTAAATATTTTTTTTAATACCGGTACCCATAAAAACCACGGAATCGCATTAAAACATGAACAAGTAAACCCCCGCAGCCCCAACAAAAACTTTGCTTTACAATTTTCTTTTAAAATTTTAATGAAAGAGCAAACATTTTACTTGACTGTATACGTACCAGTATCACATTTTTCTGAAATTTTACTGGGGCCAACCGGCCATTGGTAGTGTCGAGTTTTCGTGAAAATCTGATTTTTCTCTCCAAAATCTGATTTTTTAGGATACTCGGTCTGTATTTTTGTGTCAAGAGGTTGGCATCTCTGCTCTAGGTACAGATAACATAATGATACAAAGAAAATAACTGTTTTTCTATGTACTGCCTCACCATTTACAAATAATTGACCAAAACACATACGTTACATTATACACCTGATCATTCAGACTAATGACCATTTTGCAATTTGCACTCCACACTCTCCACTTCACTTGGAAGCATTCCAGCCAGCTCGTCCCCATTTTTGAAGGGATTGGGTAACTTTGTCTCAGATTCTGAAACAAAATCCTGGATTTAGCTCATGCTGCAATGATAATTATAAACCTTTATAGACCTTTACAGACCTTCAGTCAGGAACCCCATGACTTTTACAAGCCGATCGCCTGTCTGATTATCAAAATATTTATGATTGGAAATCAAAATTCAAAAATTGTTTTCCTAATGGTTTTTATAACACTACAGTTTATAGGGGAAAATAAGTATGGTAAAACAGGTCACTCAAAGATTTTTACTTTTTGAGGCACTTCATGATCATTTTGAAGCGCAAGTTTTTTTTTTTTTTTAATATTACACCATATCACAGACACTCATAACACGTAGGGTCATGCATCTCAGATTTAACGTTGTTAAACGATGCGTTTAAAGGTGCACACTTGCTTATTAGATAAAAATGATGCTCACGTCCTTCCATGTACCCATTTTAACACCTGGGTGGAGAGAAGCCATGTACGTGGGGGCGTACTTGTAGATGAAGGTAGGGAGTAATTCCTGCAGCCCCTTATCAGGGCAACCGAGCTCTCGCCGGGTAAAGATTCCAAAGTCTTGTAGAAGTGCATATGGACGTTTTATGATGATGATGATGATGATGATGATGATGATGATGTTGTCGCCATCGTTGTCATCATAATCATGACCATTTGTTTAATTATTGCTCAGGACCAGGAAGAGAGTTCCAAGAAACTGAGAGGAGACGATGGAGTTGGGGTCAAGCCAAAGGGTCGTGCACGTCGTGCCACACGGGCATCCAGTAAGACCAGTCTCAATGAGGTAAGGGAATGTTTGACTAGAACTGTACATGTGTGTGGAAAATAGGTTGTGAACAGAGCTTTATTTCTGCTGGTCAATGATTAGTTTGTTTTGAATTGGCTGCAACACTTCAACAAAGTGAGATCTATAATAGCCCCTGGGATCACACAATAATAGTTTGTTGTGTTTGTCTCTCATTCCATTGCCTGCTGTTCTTAATTTGTTTCCCCTTCTTGTTTTTAGTGGGGGTGTGTGTATCCCTCTGTTTTCTTTGTATATATTCTCTCTCTCTCTGTTTCTTTGATGTACTCTCTTTCTTTTCTCTCTCTCTCTCTCTCTCTTTCTTTTTCCCTCTTATTTTTCTCTCTTTCATTTCTCTCTCTCTCTTTCTTTTCTCTCTCTCTCTCTCTCTCTCTCTCTCTCTCTCTCTCTCTCTCCCTTTCTCTCTGTCTCTCAGAATTCCTATCCCTTTACCCTTCCACACTCTCAAAGACATCTATGTATCATGGTGTACCTCTCTATCATTCAATTGATTGTCTCCATCTTTGTCTCTCTCTCTCTTGTCCTGCAGGAGATAGAGAACCAACCGGAGGATAGGACATCCCCTTCCGCGACCTCGCTCTCAGGTAGCAGTCAGAGGAGAGGCCCTCTGGCCAGGATCAACGAATACCTTCAGAACTCTCCCATTGGAAAATCAGGTAAGTTCATATCATGGGATCGTAGGACATATCGAGGGGTCAGTGACACAAAGACGTAACTCCATATTTTGCCAAAATGAGTATTTGATATCAAAATGTTCAGAAAATGTGCAGGAAACACAAAGACTTAACTCCACCCAACATCCCATTGAAGTCGCTAGTGAAACATAGACTTAATTACTTAAGGCCCAAGTGCTCAGTGACACATGAACCACTTTTTCTTGAAAGGGTCAAACTGGAGTTACGTCTTTGTGTCAGTGACCCCTCGATATGACGTTGGCTGTTTGCTAGAAGGTTGTAAGAGATATGTCTTGTTGATGGCAGTAAGGGCCTTTTGGCAGGCATCCAACCATTATTAATCTCAGAGATGTTGATGCAGCCTGTCATTGTGTATCTTTGTTTCATGGTACTGTACTGTATTCATGATCATTTAGCTGATAGATAAGCCTTATTCTCTCTTGATGCAGTAAAAAAAAATTGCAGCAGCAAGATAACCATGTACATGACTCGCTAAGGGAGGGGGGGGATCCCATCCATGACCTCACTGTCGGGTAGCAGTGACAGATGATGCCCAATGGCTAGGCTCGACGAATATCTACATAACCCTTCCTTCGTCTGTCTGGTGACTTTTAATCTTGGAGGTGTTTTAAGGGTGACCCCACATTTGCTCTCACAACAGTTGATCCAGGCTTTTTTCGCCAAAGGTAAAGGGTTAGGTTAGGTTACAGGAGCAAGTGTCTTACAACTGTTTAGATGGATGATGATCGGGATACAGTCTTCTATTTTCTTCTTTGTACAGTGCGCTAAATTCAAAATGACTCATTAGAAAGATAACCCTCATTCACAGATGGCGCAGTGAAATGCCTTTAAAAATGCCGTGTCAAAAATAAGAATCATTTCAAGTCTAAATGTGAATGGCAAGTGAGATAGAAAACATGAATGGTTTGCAGGCAAGTGCTTATAATTTCGATTATATGCTGTATATCCTGTGAAACACTCAATGTATCATACAAATTGTGCTGCACGTGGCCTTCTAGTACAATACCTGCTCTATCCTCATAACCATATTACAAAATTAATTACTCACCCCCTTCCTGTCTCCTTCAATCCTCTTGTAGACATATGGAGTCTTTCAAGTTTTTCAACAACAAAATAATTGTTCTAAAAAAAAAAAACTTATCTATGAATGCTACAATATGCTTCATAATCATACTTATTGTGCAAGAAGCATTGTTGAAATTGATTTTATTTCCCTGTTGTTTGTTTTAAAGCTGATTGTCACGTGCCCTGTTTAATTGTGGTTAAGATTAGACGCATGAATTATAATAATATGAACTCTCTCTTCGTCGTATTTTGTGGAAGCCCCTATCATGTCTCATATTTTCCTGAGATTGTAAATCTTTGTTATCATGCACCAACTATACTAAAATTAAACAATCAAAAAAAGAAATCATGCAATCCAGTTATTGCCATCAATCATGTTTCCAGTTAGTTGTCCAATCAAAACTAATAGGGACTTTTAGATTTGCACGAAGACAATGGGGATTGCTACGATCGACGCCCTTTTAATGCACTGCCTTGAATGGACGTCACACGTATCAGTCCACGCAAATCTAAAAGTCCCTAATGAAGCACCTTCAAAGAGAACAAAGAAATGAAGCTATTTGTACCATTTTCATGACTTTTTATCATTACGTCCAAGACTTTCTTGTTCATCAAGTTTTCAAACACTGATTAATTTCATTTCATTAAGGTTGTCATAATAGATGTATAGTACCCCTGTTGGGATCCTTAACATTCTAATACGTGTATGTACATGTATAACATTTATACTCATACTATAGTGTCATTGTACAATTCTCAATATGACTCTAATTTGTAACCATGCCTGTCTAATTCTACATGTAAGAAAGTCCTGCAATACATTTACCTTGCCTTTCTGTATCTGAAAATAGAGACCCTGTTAAAGCTTAAAGGTAAAGACCACTTTTGGAAACGCCCCCCTCTCAAAAAATGAAATGGAAGCTCTTATTACCAATCATGTGAAAGGATATGTTTCGACTAATAAGTGATCACTCAAATTTTGCCGAGAAACCGCCTACTAATTGATATATTTGGTAAATTATTATATCTATTTGGACCTGATAGATTTAACGCACGTGTGCGTAGTCCCATATACATCTTTCTGTGTACAGTGCTTGTAACTTTACCAAGACTGGGCCAAATTTCTTATCATTTTGATTCCAGAACCTTGCAGTTCACACCAATACTTATAAGCTAGATAATCAACCTTTTCTGATCGATTCCACAACGTTTCTTTCACAATGCAACCGCATGACCATAACTGGTCTTTATCTTTAATGGAATAAATGAATGATTAGTACGTGCTCACTATCATATTCTTTCTTTGTCTCGCTTCTTCCCTTTTACCGCTTCCCTCTCTACATAGTGTATGATACTGGTGAGTAACTTGTGCATATGAGTAGTGAGTCAAAGAAATATACTGACTTGGATCTGTCTCTCTGCAACAATAAATACTGCAATTTCCATATATTTATCCTGCCTCTTTTCTGTGTTGTAGCGTTTTCTTCTCTGCATGCTTTTGCTTTGGAAAGGCTACGGTTTCTTATCTACCTCCCCTCCCATCTCCTCCCCCTTCCCACCCCAACAACTAATTGTGAATTTCTATTTCTCCCTAGTTCTCTCCCCTTTTACTTTACCACTCTTTTTCATTCTATCTATGAACATGTTTGTTTTAGTTTTTTATCTCTCCTTTTGTAGCTCCTCACTTTCTCTCTCTCTCTCTTTCTCTCTCTCTCTCTCTCTTTCTCTCTCTCTCTCTCTTTCTCTCTCTCTCTCTCTCTCTCTCGATGATCGTGATCTTGAGTTGCGCGTTGAACCACTTCTTGCTATATATCTACATGTAGAAAGCATATATCTGGCTTCCTTTAGTGCAGTATAGTACTGTTCATAATTATGGTCATATATATTGTATTGTATTGTGTTCAGTATTTTTATCTCGCCATTATAAATATCATTCTTGAATCATTAGTAGAACTTATGAACAAAAGCATTCCATAATTTACTTTGTGACAAACGTTCCTTGCTTTCAAAATACATGTACACAGAGCTCATAAAATGTATTTCTGCTAAATGTACATTACATTACTGTTTATGTATGTGCCACATAGACACATGTTTCAAGTTTTCAATGTTTGATGTGTTTACGATCTAGCAGGTTTGCTAATAGTGTGCTGTGTTTTTCTTTTTTCTTCCCTTGCATGATGGCTCATCATTTTTAATTCAAATCAATTCAAATCATTTTGTTTGCATTGTTGATTTTATCTTCTTTTTTACCTTGCAATTTGCTCTTAATGTTGCTTGATAATTTGCAAATGTATCAATGGCCATTTGTTATTTTTTCTTTCACCTAAATATACTAACTCTTCTTTGGGGTAAAAAATATGGATTTAATCTTTTTCTTCTTCTTGTTTGGTAACTTTTTTTCTTCTAAATACTTCTCTAATATATTACAACTTTTCATTTCATTATATTTAATGATTTTTATTTGCCTTCTTCTGCGCCATTGTATGATTATTTAAATATTCCTTTTTTTGTTTGTTCAATGCTACACTGTACCTAACTTCCTTCCATGTGTGAAATCTCTCATTAACATCTCCTTTGGTTTTTGCTTTTGTATATTATTTTGCTGAATTCTTTTTGTGGTTATTATTTTGGCATCCATATTATTCTACATATTTTGGGGGAACAACATTAATTAATCGCAATTCATGATGGCGAAACCTTTTGCATCCATTCTCACCTCTCTCACCCTTATCTTAACCTTCACCATTTCCTCATCGATGAAATCCACCCCTGCCCTTGCTCCGTCTCCCATGCTTAACATCCACCATTCAATATCTGTTGCCATAACAACATCATAGCCCCATCCTCATCATTATCATGCACTTCCACGGGTGCGGCCATGGGTGCTGCATCCCCCTCCGCAGAGGAGGTGACCCCGTCCCCACCCTCTTCCCATATCAACCTCATGGTTAAATCATTAGCATGCACAGTCAACCTCACTCCAACCGTTATCCTTCCAGCCAAACGCCTGGTAGACACGGCCACGGCTGCTGCCTCCCCCTCCTCCGCTGAGGTGGTGAAGCCTCCGTCCCCCTCCCCGCCCAAGGCCGTCGAGATGGCCACCTTCGTCCCCTCCATGGTGCCGGAGAGACAGAAGAGGAAGAGGAAGCTCTACAAGACCGATATTTCTGCACCGTTTGAGGCCTCCCCTCATGAGGTAAGATTCTCTTCTTTTTCTTTAGATCCATCTTTTTTTTTTTCTCTCTCTCTCTCTCTCTCTCTCTCTTTCTCTTGTACAGTCAAACCTGTCTATTGTGACCGCCCAAGGGAAACACAAACAGTGGTCATTGTAGACAGGTGGTCTTTGTAGACAGGTTCCTTTAGTACATGTTTCAACGAGAAACCTTTTTCTAAGGAAACAAAAAATGTGCTTGTTGTAGACAGGTGGTCACTAAAGTAGGTTTGGCTGTTTATTAATTGTTAAGTAATTTACAATGTGCTTGTCCACTTAATACTGTATGGTGCACATTTTTAAAGTTACATATTGAGAAGTTCTAATATATTTAGGTAGAGTCATACTAAATGTATATCAAGGATAGCCCTATTTCCTTTTCTTTTTTCCTTTCTCTTCTCTTAACTTCTCTTTTCTTCTCTTTCTTTCTCTCTGTCTTTCTCCCTCCCCTGCCTTCTCTCCCAATTTCCAATATCTCTCTCTGTCCTATTCTCTATAATATAATTGCAGAGATGTACCTATGACATCACACCTACTAACTCTCACACAAGTTTATTCCTATTTGAAATAAAATTGTTAAATATCAAATATTGCGAGATTTCCCCCCTAATACAGTAAGTGCGATACAGGGAATGTCTTTCATAACATGACCATCTCAATAATAACTATTTGGTTCCCCTCCCCCCCCCCCCCCCCCCCTGGACCCCTTTTGGATGTAAGACCATTTGTCACTCTCTCTCTCTCTGCATGTAAAAGTTATACGTATTGCCTAATAATGTTCTCTCTTTCATTTCTAAAATTTCCTTGCTTGCAGATGATAAGCCGACAATATGTAGGCGAAGCCAAATCTACGGAGGGCGCTGTTACAGTTATCACACGAAAGCTTCGCTCTCGAGCCAAGAAATACTGAAGAGTTTCCCGCCATGTAGCTGTGAAAAATGCATTGAAACAAAATCCTGAATGTGGTTGCCAAATTTTTGTGAACTATGGAATGCTCTTTATTTCGAGAATATGCATGATGCAATGGGGTTACAGTTAGATGTGACTTTGCTTAAACAAATACTATGTCCCGACAATAGAAATGTGTCCTTCTTATTTTCTTAACTTTTACATCTACTTGTAGTTATCAATCCTTTTGCATATCGTCGGTGGGGTGACACAACCTTGTATCTCAATTTTTTGAGATTTTTATTTGTTTGCATAATTTTGTTCCTAATGGCCTACGACACCACCTGATAAATCCATGGATCGCCTCCTTCTCAGTTTTTTCACAAATTCCACACAAACACCCTTAAACTAAACCTCGTAACTTTAACCCCCTTTGAAGCTGCACTGACAAAACCTCGTAACATAAGATACGTAATTCCTTTTCCTTGTAACTCACACACGGCCTAACAGTACTGAAGTTAGTGTATTCAAATCCTCGTAACTCTTTCAGAGTTGAAAGTAAGGACTCGTATCTCAATTTGAATAAAAACTAAAAACTCGTATCTCGATGTAGATAAACGCAAAAACCTTGTAACTCACTTTCAAATATAAAAACAATTATTTTACTGTATTTCAACAATGACATGAAAAATTGTATAAATATTCCAGTTTTAAAAAGAAAGGATGGTGTCACAGCACTAAATTTGTTGAGACAGGAAAATTCATGATTTTTGAGATACGAGGTTTTGTCACCCCACCGACGATATACTTAAAGTACTGTACAATACAAGATGAATGTGTCATTTTGTACATTGCATTTTACGGCTGTACAGGAATGTAAACTTGAATTAGTGAAGTTTCAAATATCAACATAAATCATAAATTGTTCTTCATATTGTTGTTAGTGTATATTTTTCAGCATATGGTCTTGCTTTTGTTAACTTAAAGTTTAATCCTGAATAAACGTTACATAGGGCCCAATGTGACTTTCAATGCATATTGGATTTGATTCTCTTGTAAGCGCTGTTATATCATGTCATCAGTGTGGGATCAGTTCAAATTCAAGAAAGGGGTAAATTAAGAGAAGGAAAAATATCAGGAAAAATTGCATTTGCAGCCAAAACTTTATTCCAAGCTCAGTTTTACTCTGTAAACAAAATATTGCCATTCAATTTATAGTTGTTGCTGAACCCAAGATATATGTTGAGTTGTGGACAAAACATGCTTGTGGCATAAAAGTTAGAACTTTACTGTATTTTGTAAATAAAAAGTAGATGAAAACATTCTAAGATGTTAAAAAAATACAATCACATTATTTTATTTGTGCCACATTATGCATACAAAAATTATATGTGGTATATCTTCAATTGCCAGATAAATGGATATTAACAGAGGGAATATTCAGTCCTTTAGAGTATTAGGAACTCTCCCTGCTAATGCTTTGCTGCAAGGCACTCAGCAATATCCAATGAAGCCCAAGAAATGTGTACCTTTAACTGTATATGATGTGTAAATAGAAAAATATAGAGTAATAATCTTGTTATATGACAAATGTAAACATGAATAAGGCAGATCATGGTACTTTCTGCATCAAATTTGAAGTAAATAATGAGAAAGAGAATGTGTAAAACATGACTTGTATAAATGTACATGTAGTTTCATAGAGATACTAACAGTGCCTGGCGTTAAACAGAATTTTTTTTACATAGAATTAGGCAGATATGGACCAAAATATGAGAAAGAAAATGGTTTTCTTCCAATGAACGGCCTTCAAAGCAATATTGTTGTACATCAGCAATTTGCATAGTGTATAGAACACATCTAACTGTGTTGAAACGGATGAGCAAAATTTGATGATACACTGTACAGAATGTACAGCGGGATAAAGAAGTAATCATATATGTGTACTTGTATTCATATGGCATGTATTTGTCAACACATCACATTTTGTAAATGAATAATGCATGGGTATAAAATTATAAAATGCATTTAGTACTAGTGTAAAACAGAAATTTGCCTTGTCTTTGGGCAGTGTGGGTTCATTTTCTAAAAAAAAGAAAAGTCATAATGCTATTTTGTATACTTGTACTATTAAGTGTGAATCTATTGTTAAAATGCATAACAGACTTCTATTTATAGGATTGCAAGATTGCAAGTAAACTTTGTAGGCAATATGATATTGTTGTATGAAGAAACTTCCAATAAAAGCAACATGAGTTTGCTTATCTTGCTATAAACATTTGTCTTCAGTACTTTTTTGATTCATTTGCCTTAGATACAGTATATTACTTTGGTTTTCATCAATTTCCAAGCTCTCACTAATTTACATGAAATCTCATGTTTTGTAAATGAAAATGTTCTTTGAAATAGGTTCCTTGGTCCCCGTTTAAGATATCCTAATGTGCGCTTATGAAAGTTGCGTTGCATTGAGAATATACCTCGTAGATATTCAATTCAGGTTTTCAATTTTAATCTATTTTCCATCTTTAAAAAGAAGAACAAATATAACATAGTATTGACACATTGTATTAAAATAATAATATAAACATAAACATGGAGGGATACCCTTAATAAGCAGGTGGCTTGTAGGCAGGGCCCCGGTATACAATATAAAATTTACAACTTTGTTAGAGAAATATCTAAACATTTGAGAAAATTATAAGACAGCAAAATTAAATATAAATCAGGAAATTGTGATCATCTTAACAGCTGCTATAAATAGACAGATACAGGCACGCATCCACACACAGACATACAAACACCCTAGCATACACACACACACACACACACATGGTATGGTCTGTTGAGAGCAAGAAAGCTGTCAATTTCATGTGTTATAGCACTTTACATTGAGTTAATGCCTTTCTGCTCTAATCAGACGGTGTTGTGAGTTTGTGCATACAAATTTGAACAGATTGTAGAAGTGGCATGAGTTGATGTTGTCAATTTAAATTATTGTCTCTTAAAGGTCCTATGTCCCATTTGCAGGCCAAAAAAATGAAAAGTTAAATTCCAACTGCATTTGAAAGATAATACTAATTTAGAACTTCCCTAAAAAAGGTGGGGCTTGAAAATGTCTTCAAGTGGGAAAATAACGACAATTAGTTGTCAAATCGACTTTAGGGCTATAGAGCCCAAAAGTAATAGTCTTGATTTTCAGACAATTGTACCGAATGGTCATACGTTTTATGCTGCACAAAGATTCAATCAGTTTAATCTTGGCCATCACAAGAAGTGGGTTATTAATGTAGACAAATGCTCATGTACCCTTTACAACTCTTTTCATGTATGTTATTACCAAAGAAGAAAAAAAGCCAGTCAGTCACTCAATAGTGTCTGACAGTGAAGTCTAGCAAGTAAACGGGTTTCCTTGCATAATTTGAATATGAGGACACTGCTAACGTTTAAATTTCACAGATAGGACATACATGACATATTCATAATTCCTGAAAGTTCTACAGAATTTGAGGTTGGCTGCAAAAGGGACATAGTACCTTTAAACAGCAATCCAAACTCTGTAATGAGTTAGTTTGTATGAGAGCAGAAAATGAGAGAAACAGAATGGCAAAAGTTTGAAATACATTGATTGGACCATTTGTATTAAAGGGAGTTATGAATGTTTGAAAAATGAGAGAACTAAATCTACCAGGTATGTGAATCTGAAACTGGCATTTTGGTCGATGGATTGTGACAAGTAGTCATGTACAACGCTTTTGTTTCTCATTTACAAAAAATGATTAATTTCTGTTTTTCTCCTTAGTCCCATTTCCCTTGGGTTTACCACTCTCAGGCCTGATAAAAACCCGATTTAAATCGGTTTCCCGATTTTTTTTTATTTTTCCCGATTTTTTCCTGATTTTTTTTTTCTTCCCGATTAAATTAAAAAAAAAAAAGAAATCTTGATTTTTTTATTCTTCCCTATTTGATCCTGATTTTCCCGATTTCTCTCTTATTTTCTCTATTCTTCCCTATTTTGCCCTATTTTTGCCCAATTTTTCTACTCGAAAGGAGGGAATGTTGTTACATGCCATTTTTTCCCAGCGAATCCTCTTTTTTTTTTTTTTACTCACGGGGGGCGTGGTTGAAGGGAAAACAAAAAAAAACTTTTTTTTTTTTAGTGCTCACTATCACCCCTGCACTCTAAATTTACTAAGGATAGCATTATCTTCATCACCTTGAAGCGGCACTTAACTGGAAGAAGAAGAAGAATATGATAAGTGCTCTTGATAGAAAAGACCCTCCTGACTCAAACATTTTGAAACATTTACATTTTAGCCATTTTGCGAGTTGAAATTAATGCGACAGTTATTCGGCACTGCCTCACAGGGACATTTAAGATTCAGTCAATTTGAAGAGCCCATATACCTTCAGCGTATACAAATATTTAAAATTGATAACTTTCCTATGTTTTGTCAGATTTTAATTCAAGTTTTACCAGTCTAATTTTTGTCTATTGAGGTTGAATTTTCCTTTAAGTCCCATAAATACTTTTTTCTTTTTATTAGATTAGAATAAGGCAAGATTCAAATCAAATTCTTGTGTGATTCAACATTCTCAATGACAATTACTCTGTGGCCAATATCCCACACCTACATGTATGTAACCATATGTCAGAAACCTTGCCCTAACCCTGTACCTTTTGACAAAATAAAAAGTTTTTCTCCTGCCATAGAGGATCGATGGATTAGAGGATCAATGGAGGTACAAAATAATGGATCATAACTAACACTACTAGTACTGTTAGGGATTGAAGTTCATTCAATTCACTCCACACTGGACAGCTTTCAACAAAGCTTTTTGGGGTGGAACAAATTCATGATCCAAGATTGAGATGTTTGGCCCATACTTTTTTAAACCAACACATACATAATCAATAAAACAAAATGCACAGCTGTTCTGAAGAATTCCTATGCAAATACTGCATAGTTTTTATTTACTTTCATAATCAAACAACATGATATATAAATAGTACATCGGTTCCAGTTGGAGTATAAAAAAATTGTCCCTACCATAATTTCAATATCTGATATTTCTCCCACACACAATAAGTAACAGATGCTTTACAAGAAATAGAGGGGTTTTGATACAATTAAGCATAAATGCCAGTTTTGGAGTATTCAAATATCAAAGCCAAGATTGTCAATATAGAGACCCACTGCAAAAGCATACTCTATTAATTAAAGCCATATATACTGTACTAGAAGTGCATGTACCACCGCAAAATCCCCTCCAGCACCATCTAAGGTCATCTGTAGCAGTATAGTCCCGTAACTCTCTACTTCTCTAGCTGCGCTGTTGGTTCTCGCATTGACTTCTCTGTCTGCAAAGTGGAAATTAGGTATCGAGTTACGTGCTGTTGGAGAGTTGACCATGAGATGGCGCTGTGCAATAAACAGTCGCTTGGGCAGAAAGTTCATTGGTTCAGTATCGCTTTAAATTATCAATACTAGAGCAGGCAATTGACAGCCAGAGGTGCGTTGACGAGTCTCTTCACACCGAGGTACAAGCCAGTTTGGCTCAAGTGCACAAACATGTTAACGGCAGCCATAAAGACAAGGATATCTAACCAGGCGTCTAGGTGTTGTCCGTTCATAATTTTGTGCATTTTTGGCAACAATTCACCTCCTAAATGATAATATCATCATCAGATATGTAAACTCTTTAAAGGTAAAGACCAGTTATGGTCATGCGATTGCATTGTGAAAGAAACGTTGTGGAATCGATCAGAAAAGGTTGATCATCTAGCATCTAGCATCTGCAAGGTTCTGGAATCATCAAAATGATAAGAAATTTGGCCCATTCTTCGTAAAGTTACAAGCACTATACACAGAAAGATGTATATGGGACTACCCTATATCTCTCACAGACCATGAGAGAAACAAATTTACCAAATATGTGAATTAGTAGGCGGTTTCCCGGCAAATTTGTTATCATCATGTATTAGTCAAAACATATTCTTTCACATGATTGGTAATGAGAACTTCCATTTCATTTTTTGAAATTGGGGCGTTTCCAATACTGGTCTTTACCTTTAATGTACATGTAGTTGGTGACGTATGGGACAAGATAGAGTGATGTCGCCATCTCGAGGAATAGAAAGAAAACATGTTTTACAAAGAGAGGCTTGAAAAACGATAATTTGGGGGAATCAAGAGGGTACTGACTACTCTATAACGATTGGCAAGTTGGCTTCGATAAATGACCCAGTCCAAAAAAAAATGACACTTATGTTGCATACATTTCTCATACATATACCGGTAGCTCACTGTACACTGAAAATGACACTTCTTTTTTTTTTACATTATTCACAAAGGTTTAATTGAATAGCATACCAAAAACAGCTTACAAAAAAAAGTTAGTATGATACTGATAACAAAGACATTATCGAGTTTACCCAAATGTATGAAATGATTGGAGCATAAAAATGTGTTGCCCATCTAAAACTGTCTATTTGTGAACTGAATTGGAAGACAACAACATGCAGTAAAAGCAATGTGGTGTTTGAAAACAAATTGCACATTTGTTCACTAGTAAATTAAATGTTTTGACTCAATAAGTTTCGCTCGGTGAACTCCGTAGCAGGAAAATGACAAAATGTATTGGTATAGTTAATCCAACACAAATAAATATATATTTTTAATTAGATTTGTTATTCTTCCGGGAAATTAAAAATTAATTAAACCGTAAACATTTTGTGTACATTACGGACAATAATATGCCATTACTTGTTTAAACAACAGATTTTGAAAGCAACCATATATTGTATGATCGCCTAATTTACTATTCAGCAAAAACTTCTTCCTTCATCGACTGTTTTATCTTCATAATTTACATCCTTTAAAAATTAGCTTTATCAAAAATCACATCATTCATTTAATTAATTGCAGACATTGTATAGACGACAATCTATTAGATATTATTGCAGCTTTTAACACCAGAGTAAAATGTTCCTAAAGAATGAATGAACCCTTCATAGTCTTACTGTTGCATAACACTCGATATTTTTAATACTAACAAAATAATGTAATGTGACATAACAGTGGCACTGAAAAGGAGTGCCTCTGCTAGGCTTGTTTCTTAGGCAGAAACTATTCTTGCATATTTTAATTATGGAGGGAGGGGGGGGGGGTGCATTAAATATACTATTTATCCTGACATCATTTTCTTACAGCCGATAACTTTTTAGGCATTATGCAATTTTGCAGGATCCAACAATTTAACTGAAATATGAATCCCATTTCCCTCAATTGAGTTGCAATATAAATCCCAATTTATCAAGTCCAACCTGTCAAGAGTCGATAACATCTAATGTATGTTTAGCACATAGTGTAGTGAACGTGAAGCATGGGTACTTTGGTTTGTACATGTATGAAAAGTAATGAAATAATGACATGATCACACAGGCATATTCATGCAAACTGAATCAATCTTTCAATACATTTTACACGTTGTATAATTAAAGATTGTATAGGCATGGCAATGGTAACGTAAGTGGTGACATGATCATGTACATGTGGGAAGGCCGGCCCCATTTGACTGATTACAGTAACAAGTCGTCCCCATTGGTCTCCAGAAAATTTTGCGGAAAGGGGATCGGATTTCGGTCTTGAAGTTCCCATCTGACAAATCTTTGCTACTGGTAATGAGCTTTAAGCACCAATTTTCTTGGTTCAGAATCACCAAAATCAATTTTCCAAAACCCGTTTCAAATCAATTTCAAAAGACCAATTTGGGAATGCTTTATACATGCAGTTATCATCATCATCATTATCCATCAATGGGATAGGCTCTTTAATCCTTATTTTATGAATATAAGCTACAGACTTTTCAATTTATTGGGGGGGGGGGGGCATGAAAAAGAAACATAAATAGTATCAAAAAGTTAGTCATTTGTGATTGTTATTGAGAACATCTTGCTTTTCATTAGCTACATCCTTGAGACTGTTGACCTTTGGGGCTAACTGTCGAAATGTATTTCAGAGGTAGTTACTGAGATCTATTTTCTTTAGACTATTTATGTCCTTCATGTGACATTACTCATACATCTCAGAAGTTTCATCAAAAGAGAAAAGAAAATCAGAAGTAAATTCCCATAATTTTTTGTTAAATCATCAACAGAGGTAGAACGTATTGACCTGAAGAGGCTTAAACATACCTGTAGTTCAATTTTTTGTTATAATTCCTATATTTACTTTTTAAGATAAAAGATACCAATCAGAGTCCACTTTTTACCATCTTTAGGTCATAGTATTCATACGTAAGTTTATCCTGGATTTAGGTTTAATTATGCTTAAGGTCCAATGATTTATAGAGCGCCTAATTTCAATCTCTTTACTCCATACAAATGATCGTATGCCTGTAACAATATGATTAAATGAAATTAATCAAGGCATGATTTTCAAATCAGAAATTGATTTCACAATGACATGATTTCCATTTGTACATCATGATCGTATTTCCCGGGAAGCGGAGATTGGAATTTGGCGCTCCATAAATTAGAGGACTAAATCTAGCATGTCAGTCAGGGTTTAAAGCCATTCTGTACTAGACGCACTACAAATCCCCTCTAGCACCATCTCAGGTCAGCTGTAGCAGTTCAGTTCAGTATAGCCTTAAACCTGGATTAATGTTAATTCACATTTATGAATACTGGCCTCAGTGTCATATTTCTGTCAAGATTATCTTCTCATCAACACCATGATCTCTAAATCTCACTGATATCGCTACTTGCTAGAATAAAAAAGTGTACTCCTAAAAATGTCTAGTACATGTAAGATTGCCCATCCAATGGCATCATTACTGGTAGATGTACACACTTGCTGTGTTTGAAATGGATTCCCTGCAAAACTGCTTTGATGGTATTCTATTAACGTTTGAATTTGTATAACAAAGAGTGAGAAAATTGACAGGAGTTTAGGATTGATAGACAGGAACATACTTAATGAATCTAAGACATTTACTTATTTCAAGAAGACGGATAATACCCATGATTCAAATCGCAGCAACATGACAACTATGACAATTGAACATCAAAACATCTTAGAATAATACATACTTTACAATGGCAATGGCATGTAATGTCCCATCCACACACAAATACAAAACAAATGGATCACAAATTCACGATACCCCAAAATAAACTTTTAAAATCAAATGTAAAATGAAATATGAAAAATATTACTTTCATGAGAATGAAGGCTTTGTGAAAAATGTATAAAACACTTGATTTGTGCAAAAATATAAATTTTATACAAGGCACATGATGGAAGACTTACAAAATAAACAAAAACTGACCAATAAACAAACTGGAAAACATACGTGACAACAAAACTTGATGTGCAATTGCCCAATGGATGTTTATCGTATTTACGGCAGTGCTTTTGTCTTTTTCGGCTCGGATACCGAGTAACATATGGACAAACTGTATTTACCAAGCTGGACATTTACACGTAGATGTAATTGATGAAGTACGTGTACATTTAAATTTCTGTAGACTTGATATATAATGTTGGTGCTACATGAATGTTCGAAGCAACCAATACATGATTCTGCTTCTGTGCCTGCTTCTTCCTGCCACATATACAGGTCTCCTGAGTTCAAAGGTCACAAATGCAAATTATAGGTCACGGTACAAACTGTTTGTAAACTTCTGTCGATAGTGGTTCAGAAGTACAAACGTCAATATGAATATGTAGTTTAATTTACAAGAAATGTGCATACTCTCTCCGCAATAAAATTTTCCTTCAAGAACAAATTGTGGAATGGTTCTGCACAATATATTTGGAAGCATACACAGGGTCCGTCTCACGATACATCAATAAGATAAAGCAAACCTCCATAATTCTCCCAATAAACATAATGGAGATGTGTGTGGTCATCTAAACCTTCAATTACGCGTGTATGTCCAGCAATGATATGACTAGCTTCTATACAAGGAGGCCTGGGTGGAGTCCCGAGGAAGCTGTGCAGTACTATAAGGCACCGATGGCGCAAAAGGGAACGGAGGGCGGAAGAAAAGCCCCTGCTGTAGCATACTCTCTGCCTGACTGGTAGGTATACCTGGGACAAGCCCCTGCAGGAAGGGCGACCCAGCCGGTAGGAATGTTGGGCGTGGAAGCATAGGGTAGTAAGGGAGCATGGGAAACCTAGAGAGGTGACTAAGATCAGTCAGGGGTTGGAGAGGCTTGCCCATGCTGTCTACTGCCATCGGAAGACTGAGAGCTGCGGGGAAGTCCAGAGGGAAATGTTGGGGGACGAGATCCTGGGCCAAGGATTTGGGGGTGGGGGCCTTGGAGGGGTCGACGACGGGGAGTTTGTGTAGAAGGGAAGGATGGGTCTGGTTAGTGGCTGGGTCAATGATACCCTGAGTGATGGAACCTCGAGGATTGGGTGTCATCTTCACTTTAGGTGCCATGCCAAGAAGGGAAGATGAAGCCATCAGTGGGGCTGAATGAGTCGAGTGCAATGGCGACGAGGAAGAAAGCATGGCATGGTGCTCGCGAGAGTTGGAGAGAGGGGACGAGGAACGCTTGCGGACTTTCTTATCGGAAGTTCTTAATCTATGCACTGGAGAGTTCCTTATCACATTGCTTGTGGAATGCAAGTTGGCATTACTGATGACACTCGGCCTACGCTTCCCATAAATCTCGTCTTCTAGCACATTGTCATAATACCTCTTCAGCTTCTTAGGCATGCTTAGGTCACAAGGTTCCTCCTGCTCCGGAACGGGTTCATACTTGACCGAGCGAGAGGAGGATGCAGAGGAGGAGGAGGAGGAAGAGGAGGAAGCAGATGAGGAAGAACGTATTGGAGGTACTATAGAAGCATGAGGTTTGACTGGAGTTGGTTCTGGTAGAAGAGATTTGCTTTTCGAATCATCAAATTCATACTGGCTTAATTTGTTAGTCACCTGAGTTGGGGCTATACTCATAACAGCTTGGTTATTGAGTTCTACTGGAGGGCGGAAGAGGAGAGGGGATTGTGGCAGGAATGTCATATGATACGGTGATAGGAACCGTGGTCCTGCTCCCAGCAAGCCTGGCATCTCTGCCACCACTTTCTTGTAGTGTTCCTGCTCAGCTGCAAATTGCTCTTTCGTCATGTTGCGTAAGATGAGGTCGTTGGGTTGCACAGCGCTTGCAAGTGGTGAATTGATCAACCCCGATGGCACATCACTTTCCAGCTTCACCTTTTTGGGATGCGTGTGCTGTATGACTGATGGACGTGGAAGGAGGCTTTCCTGACTCCCTAACCTCAGGTCACCCATAGTGACATTGTTCAGATGGTTCACAGGGCTCGCACGACTAACATGCTTGCTATCAACTCCTCTTGAAATATGCCTTGAATGATCTACAAGACCTCTTTCTTCTTTGACCACTGAGTTATTCATAACTGAATGTGTTCTCTCACTTTTGATAGGCACTGCCTCCTCTTGTTTTACCTCTGCTTTTTCTCCCTGCTGCATCAGTGGTGCCCCGCCGCTCACCTTGTCCAAAACAGTCGATGGCTGCGACTGAGGAGCAGGCTGTTGCTGCAACGGTTGTTTCTGGTCCTCGGCAGCCTGGTGGCCCAGTGCGGGACTCTCCCTCTCCTGTTTGGGTACTGTTGTAGCTGCTAAGACGGGTACCTGAGGTATGGCCAGGATGACTGGACCCATGTTCTTCAGACCAAGATGATGATGGTAGAGGTGGCTTCCCCCTTGAAGCTGAACGACGGGTGACTGTGGAATCATGGGAGGCATGGTCATGATGGGCATGCCGTTGATGCTCATCGCAGGCTTCACCTCTCCGCTGACAGTCATTGATGGAGTTATAGTGGCTGTGCTCGTTGGCACAGTGGTAGTTACTGTTGACACGGATGCACTTGTGTCTCTCATGACGACACTATTCAATCCTGCTTGCTCTAGCATCTGAAGAAAAAAAGGAAATACACAAGGATGGATTTAAAATTTAAATTAAATCCTGACACTGTATGCAGGGCAATCAATATATATACTTTGAAATGTAATGAGCTCTAGGCATCACAACCTTCAGAGTTCTTCTCACATAAGAATCCCATTACCTACCTAAACAAATTAATTGTTTAATGTGGAGAATTTATCAACATTTGCTTAGAGCAATAGGTAGCGAATTCATTTCCCCCTTAGTTTATAGGTTTCAACAACTCCATGGACACAATTATTAAATATACTGTATGTAAAGGTGTCGTGGTCGAGTGGATACGTCACTGGACTGTGGATCACAAGGTCCGCGGCTCAAGTCCCGCCAAGGCACTAATGTCCTTTGGCAAGACGTTGGTCTACATTTGCCAGGAGAATCTAAAGCTAAGGTATTACTTATGGATTAGAGTCTCTGAAATGCTCTGCTTAACACAATACTAGACTTGAAGCAATCTCTTACCTGCTCTTGCGCTCTCCTCTCTGCTTGCCGCCATGCCTCAAGCTCCTGAAGTTGTTCTCTGACGTGTTTGACCCTCGACCTCTTCTTATCTTTCTTGTCCTTCTTCTTCTTCTTGTCCTTTGCACCATACATGTCTGCTGGTTTGTCTGGCATGCGAAGGTGCTGCTCAAATGGAAAGAGCAACCTACAAAACAAGAAGAAGACAAGATTAACTAGATGGAACTTTGACTGCGCGCAGTCAAAAATGATGCCTCCGCCATAAGAGCAATTTTACAAACCAAAACAGAAACAATTTTTAAATTCAAGTTTGATTGTAATCCATCTGTGGGTTTTAATGATAATGCATGCACAAGCTATTTTTGGCATACATAATGAGCCATGTGACCTTTGACCTTCGACCTGGTGACCCCAAAATCTAATCAGTTCATTGGCTCTGCAAGATACATACATGACTTGAGTTTGATAGTAATCTGTCTATTTGATCTCATGATAATGCGATCACAAGCTATTGTTGGATACATAAAGACCCCTGTGACCTTTGACCTGGTGACCCCAAAATCGAATCATTTCATTGGCTCTGCAAGATACATACATGACCTGAGTTTGGCAGGAATCCATCAATCGGTTCTTGAGATAATGCGATCACAAGCTATTTTGCATACATAATGAGCCCTGTGACCTTTGACCTTCGACCTTGTGACCCCAAAATCTAATCAGTTCATTGGCTCTGCAAGATACATCCATGACTTAAGTTTGGCAGGAATCCATCAATCAGTTCTTGAGATAACGCGATCACGAGCCATTTTCGCATACATAATGAGCCCTGTGACCTTTGACCTTGGATCTCGTGACCCCAAAATCTAATCAGTTCATTGGCTCTGTGAGATACATACATGACTCAAGTTTGGCAGGAATCCATAAATCGGTTCTTGAGATAACGCGATCACGAGCCATTTTCGCATAAATAATGAGCCCTGTGACCTTTGACCTTTGATCTCGTGACCCCAAAATCTAATCAGTTCATTGGCTCTGTGAGATACATACATGACCCAAGTTTGGCGGGAATCAACCAATCGGTTCTTGAGATAACGCGATCACGAGAACGGGACGTACGGACGGACGTACGTACGGACGGACGGACAACCCAAAAACATAATGCCTCCGGCTACTTTGTAGCGGAGGCATAAAAACATTTTTCCCCTTCTAGTACATTTATTTTATTTATTTATTAGTCTTTTTTTAGTAGGGTGGCTCCATCAGTAGTTAAATACTGTTTTCAGTGGAGGTCATATCTTATCCCGTACTTCTCTACATTTCTATTATTCTCCAAGTCCTACTTATGGTTCTCCTTCTTTGGTCCAAGCTTTCTTGAAGACCAGTTTGTTTGCAGAAACCTTTTCACTGATTGGTTGTGTGCCCTTAATGAACGAGCATTTAGATGAAAGTTACATTTAGCACAGAAAAGTAGCTGTGCTTTATACCCGTCTTTAAAACATATATACATGTGAATACACTTTCCCCGCATATCTCTTTTTTCTATTCCAAAGCATTTCATTCTAGTAATTTGAAGATGTTTCTAAATACATGGTAGGTTAAATTAAGGGTTTAAAAATATATTTTAAAAATCTTTTGATAAAATATCTGTCTTTGAATTCATTTTGAATGATCATTTTTTATATTTGCAAACCTTTCATAGTGTTTCCTGGTGCATGTTGCAGCACTGGTACTGTTAGGGTTGCCCCCTAGCTGATCATAGATGACCTTCCATTGTTTCTGTGATGTGATACTCCTATAGCCACCAAGCTTGACAGCTAACTCAAAGAAGGCAAACAGATCAACTGCAGGCAACAACAAAAAGAGACAATAAGATGGATTTGTATGAAGTTACATCAGTTGAGGTGGTTTAAAGCGGGACTGCACTACTTGTAACTACTTGCGCCCTCTATATAGCAAACAATGCCTTAGCGGTACCCGTTGGTCCCCCATGATCCCCTTTGTCTAATGTTAAGTGAGAGCTGGTTTGATGAGATAACCACCTGTCAGTGACCATGCAGGGAGGTCTAATCCCTCCTAGCCAAACTAGTGCAGACAGGCTTTAATCGTTTGAATTTCAATTACACATATTAAAGTTACTTAGTTGTTGTTTTTTGGTCTTATTTTGTGTGTGTGAATGTTGCTTTGGTATAATTTCATGACTTGTTGAGATAACATTTATGTTCAAAACAAAGCCTGCAACTCTGGGTACTTCAATAACAAATATAACAAATATAAAGTAATCTAAAACACTCAAAATAACAGGGTATGGCACAAGGCTCTAGTACTCATAAACTTTCAAATATTACCTCCCCCCCCCCCCCCCCCTCCCCCATCCATTAAAAAAGGCCATTCTTAGTAGTTCAATTGTCCAATTTGCAGGCCAAAAAAATGAAAAGGTTAAATTCCAATGGCATTTGGAAGTAAATACTAATTTAGAACTTCCCTAAAAAAAGGGGGCTTGAAAATGTCTTTAAGTGGGAAAATAACGACTATTAGTTGTTGAATCGACTTAAAAGCTATAGAGCCAGTAAGAAATAGTCTGATTTTCAGACCATTGTACCGAATGGCTGTACGTTTTATGCTGCGCAAAGATTCAATCAGTTTAATTTTGGCCATTACAAGAAGTGGGTTATTGATGTAGACAAATGCTCATGTACCCTTCACAGCTCATGTTATGTATGTTATTACCAAAGAAGAAAAAAAAAAAGCCATTTTGTCACTCAATAGTGTCTGACAGTGAAGTCTAGCAAGTAAACGGGTTTCCTTACATAATTTGAATATTAGGACACCGCTAACGTTTGAATTTCACAGATAGGACATACATGACATATTCACAATTCCTGCAAAGTTCTACAGAATTTGATGTTGGCTGCAAAAGGGACATGGTATCTTTATCTTACGCTGTTTGAATCCAAGGTGTGGCACTCTGTCGATGGGTGTGTTCCTGTCCTTCATGTACTTGTAGAGGTGCGTTAGGAAGAGCTCCTCACTGGTCACTCTACCCATCCTAAACTCCGCCTTCAGCTGAGATAGGGTGTCGGCCCCACTCGACCCCAGCTCCAGTCTGTCTCTTGACCTCCTTGACCCCACCCTGTATGTCCTCTTGCTAGCAAGCAGGAAGGTGTTCTTTTTAATGGAAGATATGAACAAAATAAAATATTCCGTTAGGAGTTAGGATTAAAACACGCCTAATTCTTAGGTCAAAAACAGAAGGGCAATTTAAGCATGTTTCACTGTATATGTATGCTATTGGATTTTAATCTTTATACTTTAAGAGAAAGTAGAGTTCTGGGAAGAGGTAAAACATAAATTGTGAGCATTATCATTGTTATTATGCAAGTGTGGAAGAACATCAGATAACAAATGTTCCCTGAAAAGCATGGCTCTTCAAATGCTTTCATATTCTAAATATGGCAAATAACAACATAAAAGACAGATTTTTATCCCACATGTTCATGTAGCCCCATATACATCTTTCTGTGTACAGTGCTTGTAACTTTACTTAAGACTGAGCCAAATTTCTTATCATTTTGATGATTCCAGAACCTTGCAGTACACACCAATACGCTAGATGATCAACCTTTTTACATCGATTCCACACCGTTTCTTTCACAATGCAATCGCATGACCAGAACTCAACTTTATCTTTAAAAGTAAACTCTGATTAAAAGTAAGAACCATCATTGACATGAATTTATTATGTAGTGATTCTCCAGGTAGTCCACGTAACTTCAACTTATGTCATTTACTTTTGCAGCAGTTTTTACTTTAACTATTCATTTGCATGTCATGAATGTATAAAACATATGGAACATAGAAAAAGAAAATTTGCCTGGTGCAGGCATTAATTAAGCGTCACCCGCATCAATCTAATAATTTATGTACCGTTACAAGGGGCGCGTGTCCCATATTAGTGACAATGATATCTACAACTGCAACTACGGAAGGATCATTAGCATTAATTGCTGAACAAGATGATATCGATTCCTTTTCCTCATAAACTCCAGTGCTCCGTCTTGCAAAGAGTTGATATCAATCTCAATTATATACATAAGACATAGGATACTACAAACTTACGATTGATTGGAGGACTTGCGATTGATTTGGATCAATCGTAAGTCTTTGTAAGACGGGGCCCTGGAGACCACTTTTAACAGTTTTATTTATATAATATTGACTGGCCTTGAGGGGTATATCAGAAATATTGACCAAGCTCAGATCATATTGCCCCGAGTCGAAAGACGAGGGCAATATGGTCTTAGCGCGGTCAATATTTCTGATATCCCCCGAAAGTAAAGCCAGTCAATATTTTTATTGTTATCCAAATCAGACATCTAGAGCAAATACAGACATCCACCATGACAATCTCAAGAACTGAACAAACTTTGTCAAACCAGCACTGTGCATCCAGTGCTTGACACAATTTTCGATACAGTGCAAACTGTGTGCATTTGGTGTGATTATTACGTCACAATAGAGTGCGCGCAAAGTGCGCAGGTTCTCGTACGCATAATAGATGCGCAATGAAAATGACAAAATACGGCGCAGTCAATACAAGATGCCCGGCCGGATGCGAGACCGTGGAAAATACCAAGGTATATTTTCACTCGTCTCTACACGCAAAGTCAATACGCGCAGGGAGACCAAGGAAAATACAAAGAATATACCCCTCCGGTCCCACTGCTAGTGAAAACTAGGGCAATACGGTTTTGTAAATGACCAGCTCAGATGTCTGATACGGGTAATAATCATCATTATCCTTATTGGAGATATGGGTTTGGCCCTTGATGCTGTGGACCGAAACTGTAGTAAAACTCACCTGAAGGTTATGTGAGCCGCTGTGATTTCTAGGTGGTTCATACCGATCATCATCTGATTTTAACTTCACTTTCTTCTTCCTTGGTCTACCTTTCAGTTTGGGAGCTATACAAAATCAAATCAAATGCAAAATATCCACATTAGAAATATACAAATGCAATCATCATATAAACATAAAACTTTTAAAATGGCATTATATTTGATTAGAGTCTAAGCAACAAAACAGTGTGTATGTTTTCAGGGTATGGCAAGTCAGGTTAGTATACAAGCAAGTTACCAATAGTACTCTGCAAAGCCAACTGCAGTAGTAGCTCCAGGCTCTATTTCGTGGTATAGGGAAAGGATTGGGTTAGTGATGGGTTGTAGGTTATTTTTATTGTGATGATATCAAAGGATTCACCTAGTGTAGAAGATTACTTTAAGCCTGGCATCATCAGCTCGAGATTGCCAAATATCCCGCAATTTGAACCATCCCGATCGCAAATTATCCAGCTAATTTGCGTCTACATCAGCCCGCAGTTGCAATTAGCGGGATATTTGGTCAAGAAAATATCCCAAGAAGTCTTGGTCTTGTTTCCAAAATAGCCCGCTATTTGGGAAATAGCGGGCTAATTTGTGCCCGTCTGAGCTAGTTTATGAAGAGCGTATTGGTCTGGTGGAGACGCAATTTTGAGCATCAGGATAATATCCAGAGTCTGAAAATAGCGGGTTATTTGGCAAACTCAAGCTGATGAGGACAGGCTTATCGAGCTATTGTCTGTAAAATATTTGTCTCACCATCCTCTGGGGTGATAGTGAGCACTAAAAAAATAATATTTTTTCCCTCAACCATGCCCCCCTTGAGTAAAAAATGGCATCAAACAACATCCCCCCCCCCCCCTTTTGAGTAAGAAAGTTGGGAAAAAATAGGGAAAAATAGGGGAAAATAGAGAAAATAGAGAAAATAAGAGGAAAATTTGAAAAAATAGGGATATGATCGGGTAATTATCAGGCCTGCATCCTACATACACCTACCTGTATATTCACACAACCTCTCGTCCTCCTCCATGATGGGATGATCAAACTCGTCTCGGCAGAAGAGCAGCTTGGTGTGAGGGTGGGGCATGGAGAGGAGCCCCAGGGCCTTCAGGAGGGGGTTGCTACGCCACTTGTCCCCCTGCTTCTCTATCCTCTTCAGGTTGCCATGGTAACGGCAGTAGCTGGGGTAGCTGACCACCATCAGCTTCTGGTCCTCTTCCGTATCTTTGCAGGGTTCTAGAATGTTCAAAAGGGTTTGAAATATTTTTAAAGTTAGGACCAGAGTCATCATACTGTACAACACAGGGCTTGACACTATAAACAAGTGCCCAGTTCACATGGACACCTTGAGTCTGCCCGGACCCCCACAATTTCAAAATTTAAGAGTACAGCTCATGCATACACAATCTAGACCCACTTTAGTAAAAGGGTACTTTGGAGCCCTGATACAGTCATTCAGAGATATTCTATTTAACTTGTAGTTGTGTCTTGTTTTACTGCTGTTCTTTTATGTTTCATTTTCTTTCTATTTAAAAAAAAAAAATTAAATTATTTTTTGGGGGGCCGAGTTTGTTTGCAAACTTGTTTAATGTTCAGAATTTTCACAATTTATCTCATATACATTTAAATTTTAATATACCCATGTGTTTACTCTGAAAGTAGTTTTATTTGAATTTTTGAATGCTGCAGTTCAATTATGCCCTTTTACTGTATTCTTGTTCTTATTTCTATGCTTTTGTTTTCTAATAATACCAATATTCTCACGTAGCAGATAATAATATACACATAATATCAGTAGATTGTACATCATTCGCAATCTTTGGAGTTTGGAAGAAATTATATTAACTTGTATGTTTTCAGTGATTAGGCAACCATTTTGAATTTCTGTGGCAATTCATTATTCATGAACTTGCCTTTTATCATCTACACAATAATTTGGTTTCCACATGTGTAAATATCACACAAGAAGCACATTTATTATTACAACTTGGGGAATGCTATTCAAATGCTCTATTGTAATTAGATTGATAGGCAACAACATCTTCTGATATTGTAAAATCAAACAGAATTACATGTATTTGATTTTGTTAATCCTGTACAGGGATGGGGTTTTTTTCCTGCATAATAGATTAAGTTTTTTCTCACTTTATCCATGGTACATGTACACGGTATTGAAAAACATACCGGTACAAACATGTAACACCAACAACAGATATGGTTTACACATTGCCAGTAAACATGTACTCATTCTTTTTTTGTTCGTCATAAACATATGGTACCCATCTGGCTAATAAAATAAGAAACTTACAATCTGCTCAAAAATTCTCAATTAGATGGAGGCATCTGTGTCTTTTCTCCTGTATCGGTTGTTCAAATTATTATTGAATGGAATTATTCTCATTACTATCCTTAAAGGGGAAGTCCACCCCGATAATTGACTGGTATTAAAGTGACTTGGTAACATTGTTGAAGGTTGATGAAAAAAATTGCATAATTTTTGTATAAAATGTTACTTACTATATTCCTTCTACTATACTAACCCTCTGACATGCAAAAAATCCTGAACAAATTCTCAAACCACGAAGATATCTATGGTTTTCTTTGAAGGCGTCGATGTGAGGCACCCTCTAACAGTGATTAACAGTTAATTCTCCCAACCATTTTTGAATTTTCCCAACCGTTTTTCCATGAGAAAAATACATAAAACAGGCTATAAAATCTGTCAACACATTTTTGAATTTTCCCAACCGTTTTTCCATGAGAAAAATACATAAAACAGGCTATAAAATCTGTCAACAATGGAATGGAACGTAGAGCCATTTTATTGCTTTGTGACGATTTACATTCACCTAAAATGTAATTAAATTGTCCTTGTCTTGATGCTGAACAGGCTTTGACAAGTAGCAGAATAGAAGTAGAATGATATAGTTGGGAGAATTAAGGAATCGATCGGATCAGTTTTTCCCAATTTGTACCATGAATAATGATCCGTTTTCACTCAAATTTTCAGATTATCTTTAATTGTACATCTAGCATTGAAGTCACTACCTTAGCACCACTATCTCTCATCTGAACAATGTTACAAAGTCCCTTTAAAGGGAAAGTCTACCCTAATATTAAAGCCCATCTGTACTAGTGTACAGGAGGGATTAGACCACCCTGCAAGGTCACTGGACAGGTGGTTATCACATCAACTCAGCTCTCAATTAACATAAGAAAAAGAGGATCGTGGGGGACCAATGGTCACCGATTAGGCATTGTTTGGTATATAGAGGGCGCAAATAGCTACAAGTAGTGCAGTGGGGCTTTAAGTTGGTTTAAATAAAAGTAGAAAAATGAGAGAAAAAGGTCAGTGACAGTTTGAGATGTATACAAGTTTACAGCTACCGGTATTGCCTTCAGGTACGTGAGACCGGGCTTTCAAATTGATTTCATTTATATTACAAAAGACCACTGACCGTTTGAGTTTGTGGCTTGTTCATCTGTACACCTTAATCTGCTCAATGGTAACTCTTCAATAGCATCTCCATCCTGATTCTTAATAGACGCCACACCCTCGAACGTAAATGCCCCGCCCTGTTCCTCTGTGGTGGTAGTAGTGGAGGGTGCACCATGCCTCTCCCCTGTGGTCCTGGAGGCGTGGTCGTTGGGGCAGATCGTGGGGAAACCATCGATCCACCTGACATCTTCCATGATCACCCATTCGAGGAGGTCTTCGATGCTCATGATGGCCTTGCCGTTGACTGCTATCACTTCATTCTGAAAGATTAACAAATGAGAAAAGTATTGCCATTAGTATGAATATAAATGGAGAAACAAACATAAGGGCACATGTCTGTATACTATGAAATGCATTTGAGGGATTCAGTGTTAACATTTGTGGGCCCAAGTACAACACATGTACATTCAAGATGCAAGGTTTATTTTATTCAATATTCAGTCTTTATGGCACAATTTTAACTTAATAAGTTTATTTTCATATTTTGAAATTAAGAAATACAGCAATAAAGGCAAACAAAATACATGTAATTAAAGAAAGAAGGAAAAATGGAGATTGCAAGGCAAGGACAAAATAATGACACAATAACAATAGTATTAATACTAATGTAGATGAATTCAATCAGTATAACTATAAGAATTGTTTACTGTTCAAAAGACTAGCTAAGAAGGGGAATTGAGTGCGCTACATACAATGTACCGTTTAATTTGTCAACATAAATCCTGAATTACTACATCATGTGCAGACAGGTGGGGAAAATCAATCTAATGACCTGAAAGGACCTTGTATATGATATTGTATGCGAAACATTTATCACATAGATAACCCTTCTGACATTGACCTAGATTTATTGTGTTTGTTATCTACACGACACCAACCTACCCCAACATCCCTGTCATGTCGTATATCTTTCTAAAATTTACATTGTAGGCCAGTCAAATGTACATGTAACCTGAAGAAAATGCTTAAATTCCTTCAATGGGGAATGTAATGTATTCATTGCAAACAAAATATGCATTCAAATCATTGAATACAGATTTCATATTAGAATGAAGGTCTATTGTTCATGCATACCAGTAGATGTACAATGAATCATGTTTATTTTGTGTCATTTCATGCATATTTTTTTTTTTTCTCTTTGCCTCTTAGAGGTGTTTATTCAATATTCAAACAATAACATAATTTTGCTTACAGTTCAGCAAATCAATGGAACATCAATAATACACAAGTTATTTATTCAAATATAACTAAGCAAATTCGCAGGAAATTTCATATTTTGTACTTTCAAATGTTCGTTTATTTCTATTCTGTTAGTCATTTCTCTCTTAAATAAGTAAATCAAACTCAAATCTCTATTATCATACCCATACTTATTACGAAAAATAATCAGTTTATAAATCGACCAAAAAGCAATAGTCATTATCAAATCTATTTCGGTTTGCGAATTCATTTTGAGTAATAAAACAATATCTATCTCTATTCTAAGATTGAAAGCACGTGAAAATAAGTCCTTTAAATAGGCAAAGAAGGTTTCATTTGCCTTACATGAAATGAAAGCATGAAGCACATCTTCAGTCTTTTTGCATTTTAAACAAAGGTCATCGTATGAGAGACCCCACTTGAACAGATTGTTACGAACTGGTAACATATTATATAAAAGCTTGAAATTAAATTCACGTAGACGAAAATCTTTTATCCCAATCAAATTCCTATTAAAAATTAAATATGCATTTCATGCATATGATTCATGATTCTCTGTATTAAATTTTAGAAGAAAGACAAAGTTTATATACATTGATGAAATGCCACCTTATGAGCACAAAAAAGGGGGGGGGGGTGAATCATATCAATTCACCTGAAAATATATTTTGGTCACACATGACATGCTCTACATAAATTGTGACAATTCACTGACCACAGGAAAACCCTAGGGGTAAACAACAGAGTGACCTTTGGCAATTACAAGTATGCCTCATCTGAGACCATTTGAAAGAGCTTGAATCATTCATTACAAGGCAGGTGTTCTTGGGCTAATAATATTGTTGCAGCCAACAAGATGATCCTTAATGACTGTTCTATTCATACGCTGACAAGTACATGACCTTCCACCTCCCTTTCCATACACTCTCTCTCTCCCCACCCCCTTCCCTCCCTCCCTCCCTCCCTCCCTTCCCCCTCCCTCTCCAAATTCTATACACTCTCTCCCTCCCTCCCATCTCTCTCTCTTTCTCTCTCTCTCTATGATACTATCTCTCTCTCCCTCTCTCCCTGTGCACTGTAACAATCACATACATTTGTATTTGTTTTACCAAGGACTTCCTAGTAATTAGTCCATGGTTTTACTCACTCCTTGGTATTTACATTGTTCAAGCAATTACGCAATGCTATCTAATACTAACTTGATAAAGGGCAAGGCATTTACACAAATATTAAATGCACATGTGCCAGAGAAGATGTGGAAATGACAATTACACTGCAGTTATTGATGATCGAACTAAACAGGAAACAGAAAAGTCTGCAAGACCCTAAAGAAATCATCCATCAGGGGCAATACTGTGCACACACTTGAAAGTGAAGTAAACATGATGTTCAGTCAAACCTGCTTTTAACGACCGACCTGTCTACAAAGACCAAATTTTGTTGATTCCCTTGGACGGTCGCTATAGACAGGTTTCACTGTAGTATGTACATGTAGTAGGCTTGAAGTTGATAACTCCATTTGATGTTAAATTTGTTATAATAGGTTTACCCATTATCATACTATAGCCGTCCACGCAGTATTTCTTTGGTCCATGATAGTGATAACATTTCATAGTTGGGGGGGGGGGGGGGGTATGATCAATATAAACCTACTGTCTTTGCTCTCACTCTCATTGACCTGTTGGCTTCTGAGTTCCCTCAATCCTATAAAAACAGGAGCCACCAAATTTATGTAGGCAAAGGCGATTTGTAACAATGTATAGAAAAGAAGGGGCTCAGGGCACTTTGCTCCTAAATTACATGGAATTTTTAAAACCTGTAGGCCTACAGTAATAGAAGGAAAAATTGAATGTGATATACAATGCATATCTGTTGAATTCTATTCTTTCTTTGAATAAAGAGATTTAAATTGGCTTTAATGCCCCTCTGCACAAGTTTGGCATGTAGGGATTAGACCCCCCTTCAAGGTCACTAGACAGGTGATTATCTCAACAAATCAGCTCTCGATTAACACAAGAAAAAGGGCATCATGGGGGACCAATGGTCACCGATTAGGCATTGTGTGCTATGTAGAGGGCGCAAGTAGCTATAAGTAGTGCAGAAGGGCTTTTTAAGATCTTGATTCTCATGAATAAAGATATCCAGCTATGACGATCTAACGGCAATATTTGTGGCAAATATGTCTCGGTATCCTCAAACAGGTCTTGGGTTTCGTCAAGTACCATGACTCACCGAGACAGAACCCACCTCCAGTGGCAGAATTTTAATTGGACTCGAAGCTCAGGAGGAAAAGACACGGTTTAGTCACAAATAAAATAAAACTTCCCTCTTTCATGAACCCAAAAGTCATGTACAAGAGTACCAAGTTGACTCACGATGGTCATATAATGCATATATCCGTTGTCATGCAGGAAAACTAAACATTCAACCACTACTTTTTTCCTAAAATATTTCTTGGCTGACAAACCCCCTATATGAATTGCATATGGTGATTATACACTGCAATATTTTACTCCATAGAAAGGCAAAACAAACAAAAGAAAAGATATGTACATGTGCCTTTTGTTAATCAAACTGTGAAATGTAAATACATAAATTTGCCTATCAAAAAGAGTATTAAACTACACCTGTAAGGTTAAATGCATAAATAATAAAAAGAAACAAGCAAACAAAAAGGACAAACACGGCAGAATTTATACAATGTATATGTGTAGGCCTACATGCTCTGTAACTGGTGTTTCAATACGCCCAAATTGCCTTTAATAAGTTGACTTCACGGACAGTATAAATTTCATGATAGTTTCCTCAATTTATGTTCACATGTAAAGCACTTAAAAAATCTCTCTTTAAATGTTGAATAACTATTACAATAAATGAATGAACATTGAACAGTCATTAATTTAATTTATCAAGTCAATGACAAAATGCACTTTGTTCTTTGTACATCTCTTATACTTCATAATGAACACTGATACTGATAGCCATCAAAATAATCTCATTGTATTTCCTGTCTGAAATTAAATATATCAGCCACCATCAGATGAAAGAGATATCGGAGCTACTGTGCAAGGGATAGGATTTCTGCAATGAACTACTATCATGGTTTTCTTCAGAGCACAGTATAGATCTCATGCAATATACTGTACTTCTGCACCATCTTGGTGTTTACAATAATACATGTAGTCTTTGGTTTCAGACTTTTGGCATCTTGCACATACTACAGGCATCATGTAAACTAATACTGAGGTTGTTGAAGGGAAATACAACCTGTTTAATACGTTCTGTTTTTGTGAAAGCAGAAAAGTATTTTTTTAATTTAATGGAGAGATTTATGAAATAAATCTGAGATTAAGAGAATAAGAGAGTTAAATGGGTCATATAAAATCACTATAGCAAAGTGAATCACAAATGTGCAAGTTTTTAAGTGCATTGTGATATAACCACAGACAAATTTCCCTTTTGTTGTCTCCCTGATGTTGGTACTCTTAATGTCAGTTGATTATTACTTCATGTTTAATCAACAATATTATCATCAGAATCACCATCAAAATCCTCCACATCATCATCATTATTATCCTAATCATTATCATTATTGTTATTATTATTATTATTATTATTAACATACGGTAATCATTATCATTACTATCATCATTCTTCTAATTCTGCTCACTATTCTTTATGCCTATTCTTCTTATCATTATTATCATTATGAATTTAACTTTTAGAATTGTTATTATTATTATTATTATTATTAATATTAATATTAATAGTAATATTATCATTATTATCATCATTAATCATTTTATTTTAATTCTACTTGTATTATTATTACACACATTTTGTCTTTCCTTATTGCCTCTGTTTGATCTTTGAATATTGAAATATATTCACCATTACGTAAAACATCTTCAACATTCCAATAAAGAGGGTCTGAAATAAAAGCCTAGCTACATAGTAAGACAGTACAGTTTAAATTTGCTTACTGCTTGCTGCTTTTAATAATTGAGAGAGGACAAGAAGGGAAAGGGAACACTGGTTCTCAACTGAATATTAATTTGAG